CTGTCTCGGTGATGTGGGACAATTGGACCAACTACACCTGTGTCCCCCTCGATGGCTTCCCTTGCAGCGGAGCAGGCTATCCGTCATATGTGGTCAACGCGACCACAGCGAAGCATGTCAAGGCCGCCGTCGACTTTGGTGAGTACATACGTTTTTCATGCCCAGAGGAAAAATAAAAAATAGAAAGAAAAACCCCCAAGTTCAGCTGACAAAATTCGATCCACAGCGCGAAAGAATCAAGTCCGTCTTGTTGTCAAGAGCAGTGGACATGACTACCTTGGGCGCTCCATCGCGCCAGGCTCCCTTTCCATCTGGACGCACCATCTCAATGAGATCCAGTATCACAAGGGGCAATTCAAACTCGCTGGGTCGGGAAAGGTTATACCCGGCGATGCCATCACCGCCGCATCCGGAGCGAAGATGGTTGATGTGTACGCTGTAGCAAGCCAGCACAACCGCGCTGTCGTAGGCGGTGGAGGTAAGACCGTTTCGCAGGGTGGCTTTGTGACGGGCGGTGGCCATTCCATCTTAGCACCCCATTACGGTCTTGCGGCAGATAATGTGCTGCAGATGGAGGTCGTTACCCCTGGTGGCGATCTTATCACGGTCAACGAAGATCAAAACGCCGACTTGTTCTGGGCCATGCGAGGTGTAAGTCTTGGATTGCGGGAGCTTTTGCTGTTCATCTACTAACTTGGTAATGCTAGGGAGGAGGTTCAACATTTGGGGTTCTCACCTCTGTCACAGTCAAGACGCATCCTGAAAAGAAGCTCACTATGGTTTTATTTATGGCCTTTACTGTTCCTGAGGCTCCCTTCACTCTAGACCTTGCTACTTGGGCCGCTTCTCAGCTTCCTTACCTCTCGGACTCTGGATTGTCAGGTTATCTCATGGCTACCGTGAACTCGACGCCGCCGATTCCACTGCCGGGTCTCCCAGAACGAGTTGCCGGTCTGATGGGCAAGACAATCATTCTGGATACCCAAGATACGGCCAAGATTAACGAGATCTTTCAACCACTCAACAAAACCATCCAGGAACGGTGGCCTGGACAGGTGAACTTGCTGACTATTACTCAACCGTACGACTCATTCGCGGCCTGGTATGCCGAGAACTTTGACGACGGTCAAGCTGGGGGCTCTGTCTATCTCATCTCACGATTCCTAGACAAGAAGACCCTGACCACTGACCTGGACGCACTGAAGAGTGCACTGGAGCCTATTCTTCTCAACGATGGTTGGCTGGGAACATATCTGGTCGCTGGAAAGGGTGTGAATGAAGCGAAGCCCCGCGGCGGCGAGAATTCCGTCCATCCGGCCTGGCGGAAGGCATATGTTCATGCACGTGAGTAGCCATCTAGAACAGTCTCAAGGCCAGGTGAAGGCCATATATTCATGTAGGAGAAGTCACTGACTATTCGCAGTCACCTGGCAGGGCTGGGGATACGAACCATGGGATCCAGCAGCAGGAGAGAAAGCTAGGGAGATTCTGGACGCTAGGTTCGAGCCTCTTCGCCAACTGACGCCCGATGGAGGATCGTACATGAATGAAGTAAGTTTCCCCAAACTGACGAGGAGAGAAACCAGCTAGATCAGGGGTTTTGCTAACGATTTGATCAGGGATTCCCATTCGAGAAGAACTGGCAGCAGGCATTTTGGGGCTCGAACTACCCGAGATTGTCCAAGATCAAGCGCAGTGTTGATCCGAAGGACGTATTGTGGTGCAAAACTTGTGTGGGAAATGAAGGCTGGTCGGAAAAAAGCGACGGCCGCCTCTGCAGGGTTCAGTAAATCAACAATATTGTACACCGTTGTGGACTGTTTAAATGTTACTTTGAACTTGGGCGCTCTATGAGTCCATGCATGTGTGCCCTAGAGAAAAAGAACAATTTGTCAATCTCAAGGTCGCTTGACGCGGTTTGAATCGCAGTACTTTAAGTCTTGTGAAATTTGAGAGCCTTTATGTACAGTCCTGCGTGAACGCGAACTCCTTTAGTAACCATCAAGAACCCATTGAGGTTGGACCACTTTTATCCAGTACTCTTCGGGATCATTTTGTTCTACATTCATAACGTGTGAGGATGTCGAAAGAAGAGTTCACCACTGATGTGGCTACATCTCTTGGTCGACCAAAGGCCAAGATCTTGTGTTGAGGGACTGGTCATAGACCCACTGTTTCCCCCGGATACCGGAGGCCCACTAGGCCGGCCAGCCGGTGAGACTGTTACTAAGCCAGCAAAGTCGCGACGTTGTGTTAAGCTCCGTCATATTTGCCAAAGACTTATTGAAAAGGGGTCAAAGGGGACATTGATGCATAAAACCACAAAAACAAGGCTGAAAATGGCTTGTGGCGCCAGCTCTGTGGTAAACACCTTCCTTTTGACACAAATTGGTGGCTTCGAGGTGGTCTCGGATGGCCCTGGTCTGCAGTCCCCCACTTCTCGGAGCGGTCAGCCCGGAAACACACTTGTCTGGAGGCTGGCCATCTCAACCGTTGCAACCACATCTGCTGTATGTCTCAGCCACCAAGTCTCAGAGAAAGTTCTAGACTTTTGGAAAAGTCGGTAATGCCCACCTAGAGTAGGCTGTTGATTTCACCAGATTAACGAGCCGCTTGTTGGGGTTCACATAATTGATGGGATCGCACATATTACCGACTCGTCACATGCAGCGTCAATTTGCTGAGAGAATAGTATTCAGCGATAATTCAAACGGCCGAGACCTCAACCTGTAGCAGTCGGGCCTACCGAGATAGATGCATTATTCACGGATTGAACTCCTAGACATCTCAAATTAGAAGAATGAGCAACTTACGCGCATTGGGAAACATCAAGTGACTTAAATCAAGTTCCCCGGGACTGCTGGTAGCAAAAGACGAATTACCGGAAATGTGGGGCCTTGAGTAACGGAGCGAGCCGGCCTGTGGCCGGACCACGCGGGCCCGTGAATGCTGACGTAAAGTGGCAGACGTCACAATGGGGAGAAGCGCGGGGTTGATGTACACTAAAGAAGACGAGATGGCATTCTCATATCTAGTTTATTCTTTCAAAAGCAAACATTCATGTGCAGTTGCTTTTTCGTAGCTCAGCTCAATTCAACTAGTGTGCCGGAAGAGCCAACCGATAAGTGGGCAAAATGTCTAAGCCTGGACAGTTCCGAGCCGAGTAAGTCACTCTTCATGTCGGCGGTGATGCATCTCATTCCACCGCGTTGTTTTCCCGTCAACCACCATACCAAGGTCTTGAAACCATATGTCAAGTGCAGACGAATCATGTGTATAATTCTTACAAGCTAAAATAACGCCAAACCGCCTTAGTCTCCCTGAGCTCGCGAGACATCTTCTCACGAATGGCCCTCACAAGACTCAACCTACCGCCCGCAGAGTCCGAGTCATCTTAAACAATACATGCGTCGTCGATACCACCAAAGCAGTCCATGTTTGGGAACACGTTGCATATCCGCAGTACTATGTACCCGTAGCAGAACTACGGAACTGCCGTTGGAAAGACAAGCAAGACATCCAGTCCACGGCCTATGCATCCCAAGCCGCGGCGGCAGTCGTTGAAGTGACCGTTCCTGGGCGGGACGGTGAAAACGACTTTACCACCGACCGGGCGTTGAGATTTTCCGACAATGGAGAGATCAGCGGTGCCCTAAAGGGTCTGATAAGGCTCGAGTTCGGCAGTATGGGTATGTTGTCTCAGCCACCATCGGAAGTTCCGTAATTTCCGTCATGTACCTTCGGAACTGACAAAAAACCACCTTTCAACACATACAGACCAGTGGCTCGAGGAGGAGACGCCCATCTACGTCCATCCCAAAGATCCTTACAAGCGCATCGATATTCTCCCTTCGTCGCGGCCTGTAGAGGTCAAGGTCGCCGGAAAGACCGTCGCCAAGACCAGCTTTGCCGTTCATTTGTTGGAAACTGGGCTGCCTACCCGATACTACCTGCCCTTAGCGTCAGTTGATCAGTCAGCTTTGCGAAAAAGCAAGCTCATCACCAAGTGCCCATACAAGGGCGATGCTGAGTACTACAGTATTGTGGTGGATGGCAAAGAGTATAGCGACTTGATCTGGTATTACAGGCTTCCCACGCAGGAAAGCGCGGGGATCGCTGGTCTACTGTGCTTTTACAATGAGAAAGTCGACATTATTCTGGATGGTGAACTTCTAGAGCGGCCAAAGACATTCTTTTCCTAAGTCAGGTAGTTTTAGCTATATACGAGCAAATTGTATTGCCCTTCAAGTAGTCACGGCATATGAACTAATGATACGCTTCACATTTTGATATTGAATACGCTTCACATTTTGATATGGTACATCTTAATACACGCGGCATGTTGCCCTGACGAACGTATTGTAAACGTCAAAATGGCTGCCATTCTGTTCCCAATGGGTGCTTACCAGCACCCAATCCTTCAGTCATAAATCGTAAATTTTGCTTTAACAGTGGTACGCAGACGTAGCCTTAGCAGCCACAGTCCTAGAAGCGCACGCAATATGTGATCCGAGCTGGGCGTGATATACATCGATCAATTCATCGATAGGCTGCGTCGCACAGTACCCGCATTCTCGTCCCTCGCGTCTAATTGCTGCTTTTTCAAGCCATTCCCTGCAAACAGCCGGCTCGGCGCGTCTCTTGGAGGTCGTGGCGCAGGGCATCGGTCTCGGATCGATCTTAGGCGCTGATTAGTCGTGGTCTTGGACCCTGACTGCAGCCAGAAACTCTGCTTGCCGACAGGTCAGGATCGCCGCCGACATCGTGAGTGACAAGTCGGCGGGTCGCGTTCCTGAAACGCCTGTCATGGCACATTGACAGCTACGCAGCGCGACCATGACGTGCAGCTAGCGCACTCGATGCTGTGCATCCTTCAGCCGCATGCCTTTCCGCATTGGGTAAACGCTTCATCGTCGCCCCAGACCGTTCACGCGTGAAGTTGTGAGCAGTTTGTCGACGGATGAGATCGTTTGGTAATCCTTCTGCTGCTCATCACCAATTCAAAAGTACCCAGGCATCGAGCCATACGTCCCAGCCGGGCCGTGCGCATCATAGCCCTGCGGGATGAATTCGTCCATGAAGCCGGGAGGTGCCATGCTGTAAAGGCTCCCCGGGTACACCTGCATGGCCTGAGAGCAGTCCATGGCGTCCTGGTTGGCCTGCTGTTGCTGCTGCTGCTGGTGTTGCTGGTGTTGCTGCTCTTCTGCCGCGGCTGAGGCCTGCTGCTCGAGAAGAAGACGTTCGTCACGCTCCTTTAGCTGCGAAAGAGATGCCTGTTGAGGCAGGGCTTGGTGGTGAAGCGGGGGAGGTGACATGACGGCGGGCGTCAGGGCCTGGGCGACGGAGTGAAATGCCGGAATATCGGCAATGAGCTCGGGGAAGCGGGTGAAGAAGTCCATACCCATTGTCCAGGCGTTGATGTCCGATATTCTCTGCTCGAACATGGGCGAAATTTGGTACTGGCCTGTGACGACGCTCTTTTTGTACGCGTCGCGGAACTCAAAGGGCCAGAGGAGGTGGAAGTTGGGGCCGAAGAGCTCCCAGAACTGGTTGTTGCAGTAGTGGTGTTGTCCGAAAACGAACCGTTCCCGAACACCTGGCCTAAGAGGTTATTAGAGACTGCACTCGAGCATGAATGGTGATAACCAGAGGGGTGTATTGACGTACCAGACAAAGAAGTCGATGGCATAAGAATGTGGCATCGCCTGTGATGGTCTGCAATAGATCAGCATACGTCTAAGGATTAGCACAATCAGACTGTTGTTTGACAAACCTCTTCAGGTACCAGGTGGGCAGCTTGGCATAGCGTTCCGGGGTGGGATCGGAGTGATACTGCAGCAGCAAGTGCATGGTTCGAAGGATCGCCAGCCGTTCTGTCGGTGGGCAAGTCATGAAGCACAACTCGTCGACCCTGCGGAGCTTTCTCCACAACTTAGACAACGGCCGGGTCTTCGCGACGGCATCCCAGCCTTCGAGTAGTACCCGCACGGGAATGTCCTCGTCGTTGGAGTCCTCGATCGCGTGAGCTTCCTTCGATATACGACACCGCTTCGCCAAGACCTGATTAACAGCCCGCCACACATTCACTTTCGGGGACGCTGGGCCTGCTGGGGTCCGGACAGTGACGCAGTCGCAGTGCGCCTCGGGTGGTGGCACTATGAGATTAGGATCGTCTGGGGCATCGTCCCCGTTGTCGTCCTCGTCGTCGACAAAGTCCTGGCTGTCCGACGTGGAGCTAGGTGCGTGGACGCTGGGCGCGTGTACGCTGGATGCCGGGAACCCATTCGGCACCCTGCCGACGACGGCGCCATTGACACTACCGTGGAAACCGTGGACGTCGAGGGCGGCGGGGGTTTCGGGCAGTAGGCCCATGGGTGCGGTGTAGGTTGGCGCCGAGAGCTCCGTAAGCATAGTCGCATCCCGAGAGGCTGCTGAGCCTGCTCGCGGCAGGGATGTTGACGCTGTCACGGTGGGAGGCGGCGAGCGTTGCTGTGTCGCTGGGGTTGGGCGGCTCGGCAGCACATGGTCGCGGATCGTCTGCTCGATGGACTTGAAGGTGTCGAACAGGCCGTCCCGCTCGCGCGTGACGGCGGCCAGCTGCTCCATGGCGGCCGACAGCCTCGTCGAGTCATCCTTTCGGAGCTCCTTGACCTGGGCCTCGAGCTCGGCGATGCGGTTACGGGTGCGCTCGCGAGCCTGCCTCTGGGCCCGGCGGTCGAGCTCGCGCTTCCGGATTTTGCGGGCGAGCTCCTTTTCGGAGGGACCTTGGCTGGCGGAGCTGATCCTCCTGTTGCTGCTGACGGTGTGGGGGCATCATCGTCTGGTCCATTGGACGCCATAGCTCTTTTCCCTTCTTCCTTTATGAAAGAAGATTGTGGGCAGAAAAGAGAGAAAAGAGTCAACGAGAATAAAAGCGCGTCCGCGCTTGAGGGTCCAAGTGTTTGTGCTTTCTCCTCGCGTGGTCCGCTGGTTTGGGCCCTATCTTTCCCAAGCGGATGATGGGAAAGCTTGGTTTTGTCAGCGGGAAGATAAAATATCGATTATTAGCCCGGGCACGGGTCCGGATAGTGTCGAAGAAAGTTGACGGTAGATGTGCAGAAGTGGATCGGGCGGGCATCAATACTAATGGGGAGAAAAGGGGACCGAAAGACAAAAGGAAGCCTACTCCTTGAGGTTTAATTAACCAATCGTGTATCGAGACAGACAGATAGTCAGAGGCAGCAGAGACAGGGCTTGGACGGGCATCCCGGCCACACCTCTAGACAGGCATTCGAATACAGATACAACAGTCTGAGAATATGGTAGTGTAGCAAGGAGGGAAGAGGGGTGGACGAGAAGTTGAGAAGAAAGACCAAAGAATGTGGGGTAAAATGCGGCCACCCTTGCTGTGCTGTACAGTGACACTTGCTTGTCCTGCAGCTCTCTCTCGCGCTCTCTCTCTCTCTCCTTGCCTTGTCTCGCCTGCCCTGGTCTAGCTGAGCTGGGAATCCTATGTGACATTGGGCTTAAACTCTGCCATCGGTGGCTTTGCGTGGCTCTGATAGAGTTCGGACGCCATAGCTCCGCACGCAATTTAGCCCAGCAGAGCGACAAATCAGCAGTTGGGAAATGGTGGGAAATGCTAGCCCGCACCCTCCACTTCATCGCATTGGTCTTAGAGTGTCTCAGTCGCAAGAGTCGACAACTGTGCTAGCACTCCGAGATGGATTTCCTAAGCAAGCCAAGGTCCAACGGGGGCTAATTAGCACTACTTCGACATTCCGCGGATGCCGTGTCCGGACGGAACTTCTAGTCTACTTTTCTCTAAGAAACCTACTAAAGCCTTACCATCCCCTGCAGACCCTTCAGCTCGTTTAGCCACACCACGCCTTGCGCCCTATCGAAACTCGATTCCGAGCTGCCAGATTTATCAATGCGTAAAGTGGGTTTTTGTTGGCTTTGCAACGTCGATTATCAAATTGCGATATGTCACTGGATACCTCGGATACCTCGCCCACATATTAAACATGGCTTATAAGACATTCCAGCCTTAGCAGTCTTGTGTTACCTCCAATCGTCACATCTCTCTCACTCATTTGCTAAGCTGTCACTTTTCCCGCCTCCCTCACTTTGAAAATCACTTCCAACTGCGGCAGCGACAATGTAAAACCATCCTTTTTGCCATCAATAAACGCTTCCGCCTTCTGCCCCGGGGCGAATGCAACATCATATCGGTTAATGATTTGACTGGCGCAGTAACGGATCTCCATCAAACCCAGCTGCTTTCCGACGCAAGAGTACTTGCCTGCCATGATTCATCCTTGTCGTCAGCTCTCACGTCGCACCGATCGGCCCAAAAAGGTGGAGGAGGTAATGATTTTAAGTGCTTACCGGTACCAAAGGGAACAAATGCGGCAGGGTCTTTGGCCAGATCGGGCCGGGAGGTCCACCGCTCGGGAATGAAGTCGTTTGCCTGCGGGAACAGGCGCTCGTCTATTTGTTTTTCGCCACAGTCAGCAAGCAAAGTCTTGTATGACAGACGCAGTTCATCAGCCGAGACAACGGTGGAGGATGAAACAGTTTCTTTTTGAGACTTGCCTCTGAACATGGTGTGCGTAGGCACCTGGATGATTGTATCACCCGGAATAAACGTCCCGTCAATATCTATGCCCTCGGGCGGGGTCATGCGCTGCACACCCGACGGGACAGGAGGATGAAGCCTCAACGTCTCGTCGATGCAAGCCTGCAGATACGGGAGCTTTGACAGTGCGGAGTGTTCAGGCTCCGCATTCTGCGCAAAGTAGTCGTCGATCTCCTCCCTTAGGCGTTGGTAGACATCCGGCTTTTGGGCTAGCTCGAAGAAGAGACAAGTAAGGGATGCAGCTGTCGTATCACTTTACGAATTCGTTAATACAACGTCAGCTGAATTGACCCAGCACCATGGATATCAAGGTGGGATGCGAGACATTACTTACCTCCCTGCAACGATGATAAGATACGCGTCGCCATATAGGTTGAGGGTGTCCTGCCAAGTCGGGTTCTTGAGGGATTGATATTCCTCCAAGATCCATGAGAAGACATCTGGGCGGTCAGGGGGGTTCTTGAAATTGATGACAATTAGCATGCAGATCCCTCGACCCGGGTCAGCGGCAGGTCATACCGCGATTCTCTCGTCCACCTGAGATGTGACAAATTTCCAGAATCGCTTGTTATTTTCGTTCAAGATTGGCGTATTTTTGAAGATGGGGAAGAGCCATAACATATGACTGAACATGCCAATAGCCTGCATATCTTGATGCAAGGAAGTCATAAAGTAGTGCTTAATGCCTTCCTTGAGCATGCCAAAGGACTTGCCGAAAGCCAAGTCTCCCATGACATCGAAGCTGTAAAAGTTGAACCAATCTGAGATATTGAATGGCTTTCCCTTATTCTTGTCAATACTTGCAAGAAGCTGATTGGTGTAGTCGGCAACCCGGAACTCATAGTCTCTAAGCGCTAGACCTCTTGTTAGTTGTGAAGCCCCAAAACGTCTCTGGGAGAAATATTGTATTACCTTTCGAGCTGAACCCTCGATCCCAACTCTTGCGCCTTTGTGCATGCTCTTGCTTGTCTCGGACGAGCTGCAATGAGTACATGGGATGCAAGACTCCATACCATGGGCCTTTGGTGCACGGTGAGCGATTCGAGTGGATTGGAAGAACGGCCTTTGGATTGTTGATAGACAACTCGGTCGGGCCTTGAGGCATTGAGATCAGCATTCTTCATCGGTATAGTAAACTTGGTAAGAGTTCCTTACCAATTCTCACAATGTCGCCATACTGTTCATGGAGTTGTTGAACCTCGGTGTACATGTGCAATTCCTTGACTGCTCGTGAGGTGATCCACAGATTCGAGAGCCTCGCTAGGAACGGTCCCTTGAAGCCGTTGAGCCGGTGGAATGCCGCACGGTACACGAGTAAACTTGTGTAGATTCCAGCAATGAGCGCGGCCGTGAGAGAACCAGCTGTCTTGAGCGCAGCCGCATTTGTCCGGAAGGTCTCAGGAGCTCCCCGGGAAAGGGCCGCCGTCAGCAACCCAATACCCAGTGTGAAGTTCCTGAAGAGTCTGGTAGTAGCTGTATCCCATTCCCCTTTGCGGAAAACGAAGACATGGAGCTGAGTGCCTAAAATGAAAAACAGCCCATGGGCCTGAAGGATCTGGAGGTTGGTAATTGCCATTTTTTTGTGTCTGTCATGCCAATTTCTGGCTCCGCTTCTGTGTTGTTCACCACACAAGAATTGAAAGAGAGGAGGAGAGTTTCTCTTTTGAGAAAGCAGATAAGGATGGGGCCGCTCTCAAAGGCTTGGTAAATACTATCTGGATGTATTCAAATGCAGCTCTTCGACAAATCGAGCGAGGCGCATGAGGCAATCACTGCGTCAGAACGCAACAGCAGCTATCTAACAAGACATCCCGACTTGGCGTCAGGAAGCAAACAAGACGTGTCAGAAAAGACCAATTACCAACAACCCAATTAGGAACCCAATAGCTCAACGAAACTTCGAGTCAGAAAAACTGCCACCCCATTTCGGGATGGTCGCTGCAGGATCACGATCAGCACTTGACCATTCACATGTGGCTGATAACTCATCTGGCCTGATTACCCCTAACCCACGCCTCAGAACCCGAAGCACCATGTAGAGGCCCTTTGTGGTCTCAGTGGCCCGTTGCAGAATGTGCCTATCCGCCAGCCATCATGCGAGAAGTCGACTCAGCATCTTCAACGGTTTCTGACTCGACAAGTCCGGGGTAGAATCTTGTGCCCACGGGGTTCTGATCTTCCCCAGCGCGGGGCCGCGTCCGCGTGTCGGTGGAGTCTGGGGAAGAGCTGTCAGAAAAAGAAGTCTCCCCGTTTCCCCGCGACACCATCATGGATCTCGGGCTTCTGAGGCTGGAAGTCTGGGGAAAGATCTCGATGGGCCTCTTGTTTCCCCCCGCTGTTTCCCCGCAATGGGGTTAATTAGCCCGACGGGACCAAAACGGGGTGGCGCGAAAGATGGTCCGGGGCCGCGTGACCCTCGACGCGGGTTGCCGACGCCATGAGCCGAGCTTGCCAGCACAGCCCAACAGCTTAATTGAACTCTATCGTCTAGCTCGTCTAAGCTGTCCCGCAATCTCGGCATATACTGTGGTTAACAGGAGTTTACCCCGGTTGTTCGCGAGCCGAGTCGGCACTTGTAGCACTCTCTCTCGTGGCACTCTCGTGGCACTTATCGGGCTTGTCTTGAGTGGTTTGTCAGTCTTTGGCAGCCTGTAGCTATTGACCACATCCCTAGCGCTTGGGTGGGATTTTTCGAGCTTCCCAATATTTGGTACTAATTTGCAACACTATACGGATCGATCTTCCCAATACACCGCGCGCATTTTATTCTCGGTCTCTACTGAGATTCAAGCGAGAGGCTAAGTGACATGAGAAGTGCACAGTAAATGTCTCATGGTCATCATAAATTGAGAGTATGTACAGGAATTATGATAATGTGTATGCGTCTACTTCAAGTCAATCACGACACGTCCTTGGATACCCCCAGATTCCATCTCATTGAAAATCTGTGAATTGCTGTGTCAGTATGGACATCATCAACTGAGAAGTGTAGAAAGAGATTAAGTTACCTTCGTCAAGCTTCTCATTCGTCGCAGTTGGAAGTGAGTTTTGATGTTGCCTTGTGCTGCGATCTCCAGACATTCCTTGGCTTCCAGTCTGTTACCAGTCTTGACACCTGCGGAGCATCCAAGTAAGCATTCGTGTCCACAATACACGAATCACATGTCGAAAGGACGTCATAACGAAGTCAAACATACCAAAAATAGTCAACTCGTCCACAAGCATGGGTTCGACGTCCGCGATCGCCGGGCTGCTGTTCTCGGGAACACCCAAGCACACAAGCTTGCCCCTGAACCCGAGCCACTTTGGAGACTGCACGTAGGCCTTCTTGTTAGACGAGCACATGAGCACGATTCTCGCCCCTCCGCCCGTAATTTTCTTAATCGCTGCCGTGAGGTCCTCGTCGCTGGGGTAGGCCGTGAAGTCAACGAATTCCGTCGCCCCAAGGTCGCGGCAGAAGTTCTCCTTGCTGCCGATATCCATGGCCAAGACGCGGCACCCAATCACGCGGGCGTACTGGATAGCGAGATGACCGAGGCCCCCGCCGGCTCCCACGATGACAACCCAGTCGCCATGACGGGCGTCTGCGCGCTTGAGGGCTGTGTAGACGCTGATGCCGCCGCACATGAGAGGGGCGGCCTCTGCTGAGTCGAGGCCTGCGGGGATGGGAGTGACGTATCGTGCCGTCGATATGCAGTACTGTTGGAATGTGCCGGGGGTGAAGTAGCCAGAGAGTTTAACCTGTGCGCATGATGATTCGCCGCCTTGAAGACATCGATCTAAGATGCCGTGTTAGTGGAGGTAGGTTGTGTTAGATGATCGTGACCATACCGCAGTTGAGACATGCATCTGCCGCGTATTTGATTCCCACCCTATCACCGATTCCAGGTGATGTGACGCCTGTGCCTACGGCGACAACCTCGCCGACTCCTGGGAGAACATTAGTGACAATTGAACTCAATCGGGGGTGTGATGGAAGACTCGAAAGTCGACGTGGAGTTTTTGACGTACCCTCATGGCCACCAACTTGACCTATGATACTTCATGATTAGATCCTTGCTTAATGAGTCGACAAGGCGAATCAGATGAGACGTACCTTTTGGTGTAGGAAATGGGACCGATGAGAATGCATTCATGCAAAAGCCGTAATCGGTATGACAGACACCAGAGTATTGTCTGCAGTAGTAAATAGCGTGATCAGTAATTGAACTTTGTGATATTGAATAAAGGCGTCAACTCACAGCCGAACCAAAACCTCCCCGGGGCCAGGCTCCGGGATCGGTAGTTCTACGACCTCCGTTTGGGTGGTGCCGGGCTCCGTGTATACAACCGCGCGGTTGTGGTTGCTTTCGCCGCCCATGATAGTCGCCATAAAATTGCTCTACAATCTCAATGTGCCTTTGGACTCTTTAAAATTCAGATGGGATTTGCGAGGGAATGCATGTCGTTATATTCTTCAAGGAGGCCGGGCGGGCGCGCGCACGCGGCCACCCGGCGACCAGAAACGAACCCGAGCCTTCTGGGTCAATTGGACCGAACCATTCCCCCCTCCCTCCCTCACACACTTTGTACACTAGAACGCTGGCCGGCCGGCTTGCCTTAGCTTCGTAAAAGCGAGCCAGACCATCGGGAACAAGCTCTGTTTGCTCTTTTTTCGCCTGCTACAGCCTGCAACAATTGCCGAAGCCGTGGCACGAGGTAACAGACTCTGGCGGAAATACCCCCACATGCATCTCATGCCGGCGCCGAGCCGGCGGGTCAATGTATCGATTGTGAGGGAAGACCCAAGACCTGGGGGGAGCATTTCCAGCCAACCATTAGCTGTGGGAAGCTTGACTCGACCTTGAGTCTGTCTGCATGACCAACCTTGCAGGAGGGAGGGCGAATCCTCAAACGCAGCGCGAGGCGAGCTAAGGTGGACAAACGGCGGTAGCACGGCGCAGATAGTGGTCGAGTCAGACCCTCTTTCTCCAAATGCACCCGGCTAAGCAACACGATCGGTTCAAGCACAGGTCAAACTTCTGCCTACCTACGGGGAAATAGGTGCGGTTTGGGATCCAGCTGCCAAACGCAAAAGGAGGGGTTGAAAGCGGCACGTTGCCGACCAAAGTCGTCTGTTGTCTTGCGTCTCCAACTTTCTTCCCCCCTTTCGTCACTTTAGAGAGACTACTGCGGGCAACCCGCAGCACGAGAAGCAAGAGAGTCTGTGTCAGCATTGACAGCTACGGTAAACATACTGTGGAAGACGGCAATGCGTCAACACTACGCATACCTTAATGCTCTTCATATGTACACTAAAATGGCTTACATAACGCTACATAACGGTACGTACCAGTGCCCATTAAGCCGATCAACTCATCCGCGTTTCAACACTTGCCCCGTCGCGGCTTGGCTTGGCTGAGTTGTCGATTGTAATGGTGCGGCGCGGGGCGGCAGGTTGCGGGTTTGGGTGGCAGTTGAGAACCTGACCGAGACACACAATGGAACAGAACCAGTTCCCGCCACTTCAACATCCTACTCTGACTCCAAAACGGATACAGCGACAGGGAGAACTGAGGAGTAATACTGTAAGAGCCACGCAGAGCGAGGCAAAGCTACCCATAGTGGGAGCCTTGGCCGGGTGAGCTACCCCAAATTTGAAATAGCTCTGGACTATCCCCATACAACCCCGGCTTGCCCGCGGGGCCACGCTTACTACGCTCCAATTCTGCGAGTAGTCCATGTCAATCAACAACGGCCATCGTGACATCGAAAACGGAGTTCTAGACGACGACCCTCGGTCTAGGACATGGCATCCCGGTAACGTGCCCCGGTTGTCTCTCCACGTCCCCCTCCTCGTGCCCCTCCACTGGTTCGTTGTTCCTCATAATGCGATTGTGAGCAACCCAACCGACCCCTCCTTGCCCCCAGAAGAGAGAATCAGGAGAAGGGGGAGGAAGAGAAAGGTCGAGAAGGCAAAAAGTAGTCGCTTTCGCATGTTCCATATCCAGTGGCCCCCTCCCTCTACTTCTTCTCGCCCTGCGTTTCCTTTTCACCCGATCATCTGTGCCAGTCAAGTTTCCAAAATCAGACCCTGATACTTTTTTCTCTTCCCATCACATTCCACGGACCAGACCGCCGCGTAACTTCCCGCACCCAGACCAGGGCCCCAAATCTCATCTAGTCTTCTACAATCTCATTCCACACTGTCGCCCATCATGGCCACGAACGGCACGTCCAAGCTGGACTGGACCAAGTTCTACAACATCATCGACGGTAAGCTCGAGTCGACAAGCAAGACGAGGAACAGCCCGAACCCATCTACCCTCGAGGCCAACCCCGAGGTTCCTCTCTCAACACCCGAAGACGTCGATAGAGCCGTGCAGGCCGCCAAGAGGGCTCAAGATGCCTGGTCCGAGACACCGTACGAGGAGCGCCAACAGGCCCTCCTCAAGCTCGGTGAAGCTCTCGAGGCGCACGCTGATGAGTTTGCGCTGATGCTCACCAAGGAGCAAGGCAAGCCTGTAAGTCATTGGCGTGGGACCGTGATGATCTTGGAACGAGTCGTGTTGACATCTCACGCGTCGCACAGCTTCCTTTCGCACAGTTCGAGATCGGCGAGGCCGTCAAGCACTTCAAGGGAATGACCAACCTTCCTTTCCCCGAAGAGGTTGTCGACAACAACCCCGATCGCCGCGTTCTCACGAGATACGTCCCCTTGGGCGTCGCCGTCGGCATCGTTCCCTGGAACTGTAAGTCGTACCACTCCCGTAGTCTTGGTCGATCAACCCGCTAATTTATTACGCCCAGTCCCCATCCTCCTCGGTATGCCTCCTCCAATCTGAAGCGCCCAGCGCAAGTTTCCAACTAACACGACTCGATAGCTTGCGGCAAGATTGCCCCTGCCCTCGTCACCGGCAATGCCTTTATTCTGAAGCCTTCGTAAGCTCCAGATCCGTTTCTGTTGTCATCTCATACACACATGCCAGGCACTGACACCGAGTCACAATAGTCCTTTCACACCCTACTGTGACCTGAAGCTTGTCGAGCTGGCGCAGCAGTTCTTCCCGCCCGGCATCTTCCAGGCCCTCAGTGGTGATGACAACCTCGGGCCCTGGTTGACCTCCCACCCTGGCGTGGACAAGGTCAGCTTTACTGGTTCGACGGCAACCGGCAAGCGTGTGATGGAGAGCTGCAGCAAGACCCTGAAGCGCGTCACTCTGGAGCTGTAAGTGGACGATTGGGATGAATCTTTTGCGTCCCGCCTCTCCCCGGATGGCAGTGTGGAGTTAGTCGCTGACTCGTGAAATCGCAGTGGTGGAAACGATGCTGCTATCGTCCTTCCTGATGTCGATGTCAAGGCTGTCGCGCCCAAGGTACGTCAATGTATGCGACGAGATTTAGAAAATTCAAGCTTACGTATCACAGATTGCCATGCTGGCTCTGTACAACTCTGGCCAGGTACGTAGGAGTTGATTGACAAAAGTCCCATCAAAAGAGCCAAAGTCGTACAGCCGCTGACATGACACAATTACTATAGGTCTGCATCGCCATCAAGCGCATCTACATCCACGAGGCGATCTACGACGAGCTTGTCGCCGAGATTGCCACCGCTATCAAGAATCTACCCGTCGGTGATGGACAGCAGGAGGGCACAATGCTCGGCCCCGTTCAAAACCAGATGCAGTTTGAGCGCGTCAAGGAGCTCCTCAAAGACATTGAGGAGACGAAGCTCAAGGTGGCCGCGGGATCCACCGCGCCCGCTTCCAACGGCAAGGGCTACTTCATCACGCCCACAATGATTGACAACCCGCCCGATAACTCGAGGATTGTCGTCGAGGAACCTTTCGGTGAGTTCATGTTCTCCCGCCACCCAAAGTGAAATTAATGCATGGGCGAACTCAATCGCTCAACCCGTCATTGCCCCTCAATCGTGCCGCCCCTCCTTTTTGCAAATGAAAAAACATTGTTCTCCACCGAGGCTAACATGGGGGTATCCCAGGTCCCGTCTTCCCCGTCCTCAAGTGGAGCGACGAGAAGGAGGTTATTCACCGCGCCAATGACACCCTCATGGGTCTCGGCGCTTCGGTCTGGTCGAAGGACGTTGAGAAGGCACAGAGCGTCGCCAAGAAGCTTAAGGCCGGCAACGTCTGGATCAACACCCACTTGGAGCTGCAGTACGATGCGCCATTTGGCGGTCACAAGCAGAGCGGTATCGGATACGAGTACGGCGCTGGCGGTCTGAAGGCGTACTGCAACGTGCAGTCCATGTTCATCACAAAGGCATGATCTCTTTTTTTAAACTTATGATAACCCCCCCTGCATATGCGTTCAAACGATGTAACAAGAAATAAAGATGTCTAAACTCTAAGGTGCTCCTTTTTGTGGAACTTGTACGTTATCAGTTGCCTCTTGAGTAAGCTAGTGATGTGTCGACTGTCACTGTTACCGTCTTTGGGTTTCATCGCCGCGCTTACTGTTGCAACTTGCGAAGAAGGTCGGCGTTATTGTCTCGAAGCATCTCTTTACGCCCGATGAGCAGCGCCTCGTGGAGTGCGAATCCTTCGGTCCAGACCAGAATCGCATTTCTTTCGTAGGCAAATCATTATCGGACATTTAATGGAGCTATTATGGAGCTCTTAGTTCGTTGGTTGCGGGAGCCGGCGACTTATAACTGCTGCCTCGCGGGTGGGCTCATTTCTCCAAGGACCCTTGAAGATATTTGATGCAATGCACGTAAGCTAACGCGCAAGGACGGAGATTCTCCGCTGTGATATTCGCAAGTTCGCCATCTAAGTGCGGCGATAGTTCCGCAATTGGCAAAGTGGGGTCTGTCAGGTCTACGCTACAGCGAAGTGCAGATTACTCAATGTTCAACAAGTTGCAAAGACCAAAGGTCCAGGAAAGGCTGGGCAATCGGCAATTGCATCCTTCGCCAAGTTTTGTGAATCAATCCACACCGGTGACCGACTGCGTAGCTATCCACACCGACCTTGAAACCATGAAGACATGTTGCGTTAGCGGAGGGCTTTCCGAAACACTAGAGGCCACGAAAGCCAAGCAGCTCGTTTCCTCGCATATACTTCATGACATATATCTCCAGACAATCCACCCATGATTCCCCAAGTTTCGACCGTTGCGAAGCCATGCTGAGCTTGCCAACTGAGGCACGAGTGGGACACACTACAATGATAATTCTAGCAGCTACTCCGCAAAAGACACCCTCACCAAGGACGGTTGTCTCAACTGCTGGTTAGATGCTCAGATCGTGTTCAATAAGGTCGAAGTCTTTGGTTATGAGATATATTTTTTTCGATGATCCTATAGTTGTGCTTATTTATGACACTCATGAATTGTTGTTCAGAAACATGGGCATGAAGCACATCAAATAAGGTAATTGATGCTATTGTTACCACATTTGGGACATCGCAATTCAAACTATGTATCTGTAAGTTTACTAAAAGAACTTGCACCATAAAGCTCAAAGTCCAGCCGACTTCTATTTGCGGTCTCCAGATTGACACCATTGATCTCGGCGCATACGATCATGCATTCTTTTGTTGTTTAACGGACTAGAGGGACTAAACGAGTTTCAACGGAAGAACGAACAAATAGCAAAATTATTGTAGGTATTTACGCGAAGATAAAATTTGCTATGAGATCAATTGTCCGCAATCCCTTACGCAGGTACGGGTAGGTTACTAGGTTTGAGATGGCTACAAAAGTGAGCCGTGGCAACAATAATGATCAATCAACAAAGAAACAGCCGAAATAAGCATCTCCAAATTTTCATGTTGTCTGAGATGCCCTTGGTCTTATTCAAGTGCGATATGTAACTGGCACTCTATCCAAGACCAGATCATCTTGGTGTGTGGGGTGTGGCTGTGCGGTGTAGCGTCCGCTTCTTGACGGGACGGCGCTTACATCAACGCGCGCGGATACGGAGCACAACTCTGGCGAAGGATGCAGGGATGGCGCCAGAAACGCGCGACTCTACTTTCAAAAAACAATGAGATTGCTGTTTGTTCGTTATCCTGATTATGCTAGTGGAATGGGATAAGCCTGGGTGCGCTGGGATCTATTCAGCCGGTAGAGGGACTGGAGCTTGCTCGGGCGGGCGATGAACGCGGTGCTCAGCCACACCCCTCGACTGACGTTTCTTTCTTGCTCCATTTGCCATCATAAGGGTTATTCCCGGAACATAGCTGGCAGCGGAGAATGCACACTGAAGTTGACGGCCAATCTTCATGCCAAAAGACATGCAGGAATTGTGCTTACGACAGGCAGCAGTAGCAGCAGTTGTAAGAAGCATCCTATCACTGCGGCGCCACACCAAGTCCGTCCGTCATCCTCCGTTTTCACCGGAGACCGATCCGGCTGACGGCTCCGCTAGCCCCCAGCTACAGAGAATCGCCACGGACGACGGAGATGGCTGCAGCCGTATCGGACAAGCGATCGTACGTTGCTTGGCTCGATCCCGCATCGCAGCGGATAGGTGCAAATTCACGGAACACGCAGGTCTTGTATAAGATTAAGCGACTTGGATGGTGAGATGAGTTTAGTTAGAGCTAAGGTCCATCACAGAACACACTGACAGCACCAGACATCTCTTGATACATACAGAATACGTAGCGATCGGCATTTGAGACCGACTTTTCACCAGGACCGCCATAGACGATACCCATTTTCCTTACTTAATCAAACACTTTAGCCTCAACTTTCACAATGACTCAAGTCGCTATCATTGGAGGCGGTCTCTCCGTATGAACGGTCTTAATCTCTGATACCTATTCATGTCTTGACTTACCATTCTCCCAGGGACTCACTCTCGCCCTTTACCTTCACAAGAGTGGCATCTCCTCCGCAGTCTACGAAGCCAGGCCCAAAGACTTCGTCTCAGGCGGCAACATCGCCCTGTCACCCAACGCCCTCCGCGTCCTCGACCACATTGGCGTTTACGACACCCTCCGCCCCCAAGGTTTCGCCTTTGAGTCCGTCGCCTTCCTCAACGGCCGTGGTGGCCTCTTGGCCAAGGTCCTTAACGGCAGCTATGAAGAGTACAACTATCCGGCCCTGCGCATCCGCCGCACCGTCCTCCGCGGCGAGCTGATCCGCCAGCTCGAGCTCCTCGGGGTGCCGATCCACTACGAGAAGAAGTGCGCCGGCGTTCGCGAGGAGACAGATACCTCGGCGACCGTGGAGTTCGAGGACGGCGAGACCGTGACGGCCGAGTTCGTCATCGGCGCTGATGGAATTCACTCGCGCGTGCGGTCGTTTGTGCGCCCTAACGGCAGCAAGCCCGTATTCCAGGGCCTTGCTGGTATCTCTGGCACCTTCAAGCTCAGCGACTTGCCCGACGTTGACACGGATATGCACTACCCCTGTATGCTTTTCGGCGGCAACGGCTCCTTCGCCGTCATGCCGGCGTCGGCGGACGGCGATGAGGTTAGCTACTTTGCGACCTTTGAGGTTGAGGAGCGGCCGCGTGAGGACTGGGCGGCGCTGGACGCCGACAAGGAGACACTGGCGAAAATGATTAAGGAGAGGTTCCCCATCGATTCGAGCTGGCCGGAGGTGGTTCGCGCGCTGTGCCACCGGACCCCGACTGAGTCGTTGACTCTCTGGCCGTGAGTAACATGATGATCAAACGCTATGAATATGAGTATACTGACGAGAAGACATGTAGCTTCTACTTGCTCTCTGCCAAGGAATCTTGGTCCTCCCCGAGCCGCCGAGTCCTCCTCATCGGAGACGCAACTCACGGCATGCCCCCAACTGTAAGTGAACCACCACCACCAGTAGAGGATGAAAATATGCTGACAGCTTTCCTACAGGGCGGTCAAGGTGGCGCGACTTCCTTTGAGGACGCGGAAACCCTCGCATACACCCTCGCTCACATCAAGGCGCCGCTCTTCAACGACAGCGCCCGCCCGCAGGTCATCCAAGCGTGGGAAGACCACCGAAAGGACCGCGTGTCCAAGATTGTGGACTTTACCACCCAGAACGGCGATCTGCGCAAGACGTCCACCTCTTTCATTCACCAGTGGATCAAGGAGATGACCATCTGGGCTTACATCAAGATGGTCGGTCCTCACATGGGCTGCAAGTGGATGTACTCGTACCACGGGGAGAGCGTTCGCGCTGTTCTCGGCCGCCTGGGAATCGACGAGTCAAAAGCGAAAGCACAGTGAGGGGGACTGAAGGCATGGAGCGGAGGAGGCGAAGAGATGGAAGAGTTTCCACCTGTTGGATGTTCACAACTACCCTTTCCTTTGATCTCTTGGCGTTTGTCATTCCATAGACTGTAGAATTTAAGTATCAACATCTTCACTGAACAGTCGGCTTCTATCTGTTCCAATGCTACCGACAGGTTGCAAAGCTACGAGACAAGACCTTGGGCACATCCCTTTCTGCGAGGCATTGGGAGTTACTTTATCTTTCTCAGAGCACCAATTGACCATCGTTGAGAAGCGCTAGATCTTTTCTCTTCTCCTTCATTCTCGGATACAAAGTAGATGTACGCCCTCTCGTCATATGTCACGAGGCACAGACAGCTGCCAAAGCGGAGTACTTCAGATGGTTGCAATGAGGCACCTGCAAAATCATGGCTAGCCCGACTAGCGCAGGCCTCGATGCTACCTCACCCTCCAACTGCTGGAGTTGGTGGCCTTGCATTTCTTCGGCAGTTACCTATTGCGCCTGTGCTCGAGGCTGGAGCTTTGCAAGCCTCGGCTTGAGACGCTCTTTGATGTCGTCCCATGTGTTTCAAAGACCGATGTTGGTGTTCTTCTCCAGCTTTTTGACATGCATCATCCGACTGCATACGTCAGAACCCGCCAATGGTTCATCTAGTCTCTGGCATTAACTCTAGAGTAAATACTGAAATACGACACAGCAAGCTCTCAAAACTAGTAACGGCTGTACATTGCGCCCTGGATTGAACGTTGCCCCTGAACTCATTCGGGAATCGATGCGGGGTGATCCTACTTCAAGGCCCTATAGACTCAATTATCAGGTATATGCCCTAGTTTAAGGTGTAAAGCCGTCCTGAAGCGTGCAAACAGACGTGCCTGTTGATGGCAGATGACAACTTCAGCTCGGTGAGCCAATCGCATGCGTTGCCCTGGACTATCAACTCGACCCATACCTTGGAGCCCTGAGAAACCTGCAAAATCTCCGTGAACATATATTCTAACCTTTGACCTGTCTCTTTTTGAGATGAGTGTTTGCATCGCATCTGCTTTTTATATTCAAGTCATTCGTTCAATCGAACGTTTCACCAAGAGAAATCATCCGAAATGTTGCTCTCACTTCCAGCCTGCCGAATGGCATTTGTCCTCGCCTTCCTTGGCATGCAGACTGCGTCCTTAGTTCATGGCCTTCCTGCATCGGAGACCGACGTGCTCACGACCGACTTGAAACGAATGGCGCTAGGCTTTCCAGATCTTGAGCAAAGACAAGATATTCCCGACGTTCTGGCGAAGTTTCCTTCTGGTCCACTGAACCAATTTCTCAGAATAATCAGCACTCTGCCAGCAGGCGCGGCAGCTCTCGACGCAGTCGGACTGGTCTTAACCCCTCTCCAACAGGGCCTCGCGGATTCTGTCGGCATCGACACAACGGAGGATGACTTGGAGGAGAATACAGCGTGCGCCGATATCACCGTCATATTTGCTCGGGGCACCACTGAGCCCGGCAACGTCGGACTCGTTACAGGGCCGCCATTTTTCGATGCTCTCAATCAGCAGCGTGGGGCCAAAACCGTTTCGATCCAGGGTGTCGAGTACCCCGCGACCTTTGCTGGGTTCAACAAAAATGGCACCGAGGGTGTCCCAAGCATGTAAGTTTTCCAAAAGATATCTTTCTCGGGTCGAAGATAGACCAAGCATAGCAAGAGGCGAAAGCTTACTCTAGGCTGCTTAGGACGAACTTCATCAATGAAGCTGCCACAAAGTGCCCGAATACCAAAATTGTAATGTCAGGCTACTCCCAGGGTGCTCTGGTTGTTCGGAGCACTGCAAACACTCTTCCGGTGGCTACCATGGCCAAGATCAACTCTGTTTTGACATTTGGAGATCCTGGCAACCCGAACGCCATTACGGGCGCTGAGGGCAAAACTAAGATCATCTGCCATGAAAATGATGCTGTTTGCAGTGGAGGCTTTATCACTGTTGACCATTTGACGTATGCTGAAGATGCGGACGCTGCTGCTCAATTTGTCTTGCAGATGGCAAGTGGTAAGTAGAAGACCTATTTTAGAAAGAATAGTCTATGAATGCTAATGAGGCTGACTTCTTCTAGCGTGAGCTGAGTTCTATTTCGACATGGCTGTGTGAAGGGCGACAAGGCATGCTCGGATGATGGACAAGCTCGCGCTCTACTACCTTACTTGTGCCGTTTCACCACGTCTCATTTTATTTTTGCATGGTGTCGAAGAAGGCTGTATTATTGTTGTCAACCCGCTCAAGCTGAGACTATCGTCTCGAGGACGAAAACCGTTGCGACATTACTATAATAGCCCTCACAGACGATGCCTCAATTGACACCAATCCAAAGTCTGTGTCAACATCTATTAGCCTTTTTGCACGAGTCAACCAGCCACTATGGTGACTGAATACAAACGTCTAATAGAATCTCCTAAACGGGAAGAGATCGTGAAAGAGGTCGGGATGCCCCCCGCACTAAACGGCATGTAAGCGGGTCCCGAACCATTGAAGCCCCTCGATGGCCCAATTGGAGAGACTTTGAGACAAGGACAGGCGATGACGCGATCCCGCGGCGCAAATCCGCCATCACCACGGTGTCACTTTTCACACGTTTTGATATGACGAGATTTTCTCAACTGCAATGGCCCGGCCATTACTTCGCGGTAATGCATTCGAAATCCCGATCCAAAGGGCCGGGTCAAATTCCTTCATGAGTTTGAAATATCTCTCCCAACCTCAAACAACATTGGACACTCAACTCGCGAATCTCCAACTCTCCAGACGGGAGAGGGGTGACTGATAAGCGACTGAGACCGTACTGGACCACTGATACCGTCTGATCTTGGCAGGATCATTGACTTATCAAATCCTCCGCCCCCTCGCGTTCACATTGCACCATTCTACAAAGGCCGTCGCCACAATGTCACGATATAGAGCTTACGACAAGGACAGCGATGACGTTCCTGTCATCGAGGACGCACGCGTCGGCCGCGCAGGCTATGCCGATGACTCTACTTCAGCGGACGCCGACTTCGCGGCCATTGACCCGCACAGCGGCGTTAAGCGAGGCCTCAAGACGCGGCATCTCAGCATGATGGCTCTGGCGGGCATCATCGGGCCGGGTCTCCTGATCGGTGCGGGCGGCGCGCTCTCCAACGGCGGGCCCGCCGCCCTGCTCATCGGATTTGGCGTCATTGGTGTCATTGCGTTTAGCATTATGCAGAGCTTGGGCGAGTTGACGACGTTGTATCCTAGCGGTGGTGCTTTCACTGGGCTGGCTGATCGGTTTGTCGACAAGGCTTTCGGTGTTGCGCTGGGTTGGAATTACTACATCATCTGGATGTGTGTCTTGGCCAATGAGTACAACGTGCTGTCGAGCATTTTCGTCTTCTGGAGTGACAAAGTGCCGCTGTGGGGTTACTTCCTGATCTTCTGGGTATGCATTTTCTATGAACATCTTGGAGAACAACGCCGCTAATATGCACTCAGACACTCTTCCTTGGCTTCCAACTGCTCGGAGTCGAGGCTTTCGGAGAGGCTGAGTTCTGGTTGGCTTTGCTGAAGTTAATTGGCTTGGTTGCATACTTTCTCTTCTCCATCGTGTAAGTCACCATCCACAATACCAATTCCGATCAACACAAACTAATTTGGAACACAGATACGCCGCTGGCGGAATCCCTGGACAAGAAGCCCTGGGCTTCAAATATTGGCGTGACCCCGGCGCCTTCACCGACGGCTTCCGAGGTACCGCCAAAGTCTTTGTCTTCTGCTCCACATTCTACGCCGGTGTTGAGTCTGTCGCCGTCGCCGCCACCGAGACCAAGAATCCTCGGGTCGCCGTGCCACTCGCGATTCGCCAGGTGTTCTGGCGCATTATCTTCATCTACATGGGCTCTGCCTTCTTCTTCGGCCTTACATGCCCGGCTAATGCCGACGAGCTCGTGAACGGGGGCTCCCGAGCCGTGAAGAGTCCCATGACGGTGGCTATCCAGAACGCCGGCTGGGAAGGGGGCGTGCACTTGATTAACGCCTTCATCTTTGTTACATGCTTATCAGCGTGCAACTCGTCCATCTACATCGGATCTCGCACCCTTCTGTACATGGGACAGGATAAGAAGGCGCCCAAGATCTTAGGTAGGACCGATAGCCGGGGTGTCCCCATTCCGGCTATCGTGTTCACCAACCTGTGTGGCGCGCTGTCCATGATGAACATCAGCACAGGCGCTAGCAAGGCGTACTCGTACATCGTTAATCTCAGCGGTGTCTCGACTTTCCTCGTCTGGGGTTCCATCTCTTTCATCCACATCCGATTCAGACAAGCGTGGAAGGCTCAGGGCCATGCGGAGAGTTCACTGCCATTCGTTTCGTTATGGTATCCGTGGAACGCCTACTTCGGTTTGGCGGCAAACATTTTCCTGGCTATTGTACAAGGTTGGACCACCCTTGCACCATTCGATGCTGGATCATTTGTCGATGCTTACATCTTGTTACCCTTGTTTCCCATAATTTGGTTTGGATACAAGTTCTGGTATAAGACGCATTTCTGGAGGGTGGGCGAGATTGATCTGATGTCCGGTCGCCGACGCGATCTGGATGAGTCGCGAGAAATTGAGACTGGAGAACGTGACTTGGACAGGCTACCTTGGTGGAGGCGGTTGCTCAAGAGCTTTTGAAGCCATCAGATGGATCATGGGCTTCGGTATCAACCCGAAGAATGGGCGTTTCGGAAAGATGGCTGTATTTAGTTAGACACTGTCCGTTGAAAGGAATGCTGTGCCCTTTTCAACAATCTTCAAGATCCCGGTGGGATGAGGGATGCAGTATGGACAACAATACCCTATCGCATAGCGATCTTGTTTTAGATCTGCGGGTGGGTTGGTCGAACTTATGTGAGCCGTTGGAGGCGGAGTCGGTTTTCACCTTTGATGAGGGCCGAAGTCCGAGTTGGGAGTGCACCCGGGCCCCTTTTTTCGTCGTCGCATTCGCACCCGCCTGCGCACTCGCCGCGCTTGACCTCCGGACTCGGTTATGCACGTAATCTTCTCTTTCGGAGAACACCGCTGGAAAGTTCAAACGAGTAGTGTGTCTCACTTGTCATCCCACAACGTGCCGCGCGCACATCCAGGGTCGGGATGTGTTGCAGACAGAGGTATGTCCGCCGGCCTGTCCGGAGGATCCCAGACATCACTCGACATTGAAAATCTCCAGGTTTCTTTTCGATTTTACACTCGCAATGCAAAGCCGAAATCGATCCGAATGCCTCATAGATCAGTGGTGTTGAGCTGGATTCGGACGCAGTGAAGTCATTCAGAAGATGGCGACATATGCACACGGTACCGAGTCGTTACCTGGACCGGTTCCCGGCCAGCCCATAGGCTTCTTGGACGGCTGCGAATCACAGTCAACTCAAGAGACTGGCTCTACATCACTCGGGCTTTGCAAATACGAAAAAAGACAGAACACAGACGAAGGAGATCGGAATCAAAGTCTTGCTCTTATTCAAAGAATCTCCAAAAGGCACCTCATCAAGCAGCAAGAATCGCGAAATCAACCCCGATCCAGAGAGTTGCAGCAATATCTCGATGTCCTAAAAGATGCCATCCCAAGACTGCCTGACAACAATCTAACCCCCAGTCCTGAACTGCCGACGATTACCTTCAGTCGGCCCCGACTAGCGTATCCGATCATCATCAAACAGCGATCATCCAGAACATTGTCACTAAAATTTACACCAACTTACCCCCCGGGCTTACAAAATTGCGGCATCGAGAAGAGGGAGTTCTTGAGATGTATAGATGACCTGAACCGAGTAGACGAGCAATTAGGACCACCAGGAGACCATGCCATGGATATCAACGGCTTCGCTAGTATGACGGCTTTCACCATAGCGCGTCCCACGCTGCTTTCAATGGCGATAGGCGTGGCGTCAAGCTATAGAAAGCATACAACAAAACGCAGCGCAATGACTGAGATTCTGCAAAAGGCGAACAAAGAGCTGTTCCGTCCAAGAGGCCTAGTTTGCGTTCTTGTCACGTGCAGACGGACAGAGCCGAAGGAGCCTGAGAAGACACCGGAGACAGGAGGTACAGCAGCATCAACAGACATCCTGGATCGAACCCAGGAGAAAAGGTTGAAATTGAGGCAAAGGGTAGTGGGGAGATTGAGGGATTTCAGATGGACCGAACTTCCGCAATTCGAATTCTACGACGAGCACAACTCTCATCCGGATCTAGACAGCCATCGGCTGCCTGCGAGACACTCATATCGATCAAGACGGAGAAGAAGTCCGAGCATCGAACGCGAGGACAAAACAGGACTTAGGCAAGTGATACAAGAGAACTGCGAAAACGGAAACATCGGGGAGGGCCGACAGGGACAGTCCACATTAAAATGCGGAGTATCGAAGCATCCAGGAAGGACGAGTTATGAATTATTCCCTTTGAGTGGCAATAAAGCTACCGATTGGGATTTTGTTTCAAACCAATCTTCAAGCCTTGGATTTGCACTAGGAAAGGTTGAAGTCGAAAGCCTTACTGCCGATTTCTTTACCGCCGGAACAGATGAGGATACAACTCGCGAGGAGGCACAGCAAACGGATATGAAGCCAGAGCACACCAGTACTGTCTTCAAGCATCGAATTTATAGTCAGGGAAAGACTTTGAGTTCAGTAAGAACCCCTTTTCAATGCACCGTGATTTTGTCTGACTTCTCCTTGCAGGACGCACTTTGTCTTATGATACTCAATTCCCCTGAGGACGCCCAAGATGCAAATTTAAGACATCAAAAAATTACTTCATTTAATGGTCAACTACTAGGATAACCCTGAGATATTATATGTGACTGCAGGTCAAAGGCTGGTTCATCGTACTTAGCCTAGCTATAATCCATCAAGTTAGCCATCTGACTCTGTGTCACTCAAGTGCACCCGGTCACCTTTCAGTTCCCGCAGAAATCTTCAATATGCACCGACCGTCTTTAATTCTATGACCTTTGGTGCTACCAATATTGCCACGACTTTTCGAGCGATACCACAGATTTGAAATGACCTTCACACCAGGAAGTTTCAAGCGTATGCCTGCATGTTCCACTCGTCTAGCGAAACAAAGTTTTGGAAGATATTATGGGATGTCGCAGCCGTACACAGTGGGTAGTCTAACTCTCGTCCTGTTGTTTTCCAGGGCATTTTCTGTCACTACAGCTAACGCAGATCGAAAGAGGTTCTCCTACAAGATCCGAGGCTGAGATGCTGTCTCTCGGCTCTCTGCCTTCATTGAGAGAGGAACCAGGGCTTCAAGAGCCAGGACCGAAGCTCCGTGGACCTCAAAAGCCCGAAGTAGAAAGCAATTAATCAAATTTCTGAAGCCTCGAGATAAAATTTACGAGAATAATCAATGCCCAGAAAACGTGACAGAGGTGGGTTTCTGAGGAGAGTTGGGAGTGGCATGTTTTTGGTCCTACTGCTCACGAGAAGTCTAGATAGATAAAGAGGCAAGGCTTTCGGCAAACCCATCTTTCAAGACAGAACGAGTCAAAACGATTAGAAAAAGCGATTGTAGGTATCTGTCTACTTGTTTTGAATCCATCCTGAAAATCGACGTGTGCACCAACAACATTGTGGCGCAAAGTGTATATGCAAGCAGCTTACTTGTCAGCTTACGCTGCTGCCTAAGGTAGACTTGATCACCTCTCCAACCTTCTAGATGAGAATAGACTTGTCATCCTTACTTATTTATCTCATTGTCTGGGATTGCCTTATGACTGCAAGACTTCCCGACTCCGCTTTCAGACTCATTATCCAATTTTTAGCAATGGGTTCTATGAGTCCCCGCCACATCTTCCCCCTATTTGTCGCAACGACCACCACTTTTGGCGGACTACTCGCGCTCTTCAACCCCGCTGGTTCAATTAGAGCTTTCGGCCTTCCGGATAGCATCGCCTCGTCCCCGACCGCTCATGCTACCTTCAGCCTTTCTTCCGCGCGCACATCAGTCATTGGACTGCTGATTTACACATTTTATGCCAGAGGCGACTTCGGGGCTATCGACACCGTTCTTTTGACTTCAGGTCTTTACTGTGGTATTGTCGATGGATATGTTTGCTATAAGGAAGGTGAACCGGGAAAGGCGCTGCTCCGAATATTGAGCTCATGGGCGGTTGGGCTGTATGGTGGGCTGGGGATTACTTCTGTAAGCCATGTTACACATATTAATTCTATGTTTGAGGCAGCTGTTGACTATGGTATTTTGCATCCACAGGGATGAAAGGCACGTTACCTGACTAAAACTGTGTCGAGGAACACGAGCGAGCATATGAAGGAGAGCACTGCGAAGACTGGGTAACGCGTCGTTGTCAAGCATATTGAATGAGAATCGTTGATCAGGTAAGATGTTAGAGAGATGACAGCCTCGAAGAACTAGCCCGGTTGATGGCTGAAACGCGATGCCCAGATGCTTCTCGAGCGATGGAACACATCATTTCAACTATGGTAGCAACTCTGAATCATATCAATCACAAGCCCTTTCGCAGTGCTTTCCTCAACTTGTTTTGAATCTCACCCTGGAACATCTCATGATGTCTCGACGGGCTTACTGAAATATCAACACACGCTTCAAAATCTAGACTGAGGCCTCACGCGGTTTTGCTCATGACCTCTCATTAAAAGCTATCAACTTCAATTGTCGGGAACTTCAATAAGTCTTTGTCATTAATTCTCAAAGCATTCTTTAGGGCTGCAACAAACTCTGCCCAAGTGGTTGGGTCTTCGTTTGAAGGAAAGGAGTTCATTCCGCAGATGATCCTGGAGAACATTGCATGAGCACCACCATCTCCATCCGCAATCTCTAGAAACCCCGTGACTTCCTTTAGAAATTGCTCTCTCCACATATTTGCACCAGTGTGTAGGAGTCTTTTCACACATCGGCTCGCCACTATTTCGTAGAGAAACGTAGACGTTGGGAGACTGTCGTGATCGCATATTTGGAGTCCCTGAGCTAGCCTGTCACGAAACAGGTGAGGGAGAAAAGACTGCCCTTGACTCTTCAAATGGTTGATCACTCGGTGATAGAGTTGGAACGGCGTAATGTTGTAGTCAGCTGGCAATCGGTCTTGGATGCCGTCCTCCTCTGTCAGCCCCAGTAGACCATACACCCGGTCCCGAGGATCAGTACAATGATAGTCTTTCGAAAAGGCGAGAAGGCGGGTCAATTTGGGTCTCGCTCCAAAGCCGGGGTCTTTGTCTGTGAAGGAAGGGCGTTTCGGATCTGTTTGCCACGACCGTCGGAGTTTTGATAACTCTCTACAGCTGTTGACACGGGGCTCGATGCTGTAATGACTTTCCGACTTTGAGAGATGCTTGAACCCAAGATTTGTCTGGTCAGATATGCCAAATGGTCGAAACTGTTGCAGGGAAGTCCATGATATGGCGACAGATCCGCATAATACCCATAACTCTCTAGCCAAAGTAAACTCTTGCACAATCCATATCCGGGACCAATACGGTCGTGACACAAACCACTTTGCGTCTTTAAAAGAGAACTTCCGCTTCTGTGAGCGAAGGTAGTGGTTCCTCTCCCTTCGGGCAGTGTGCTTGAGGCCCTTGAGATATTCAAGCATGGCGGCGATTTCGCCTTCTTCCTGTCCTATCCACGAAATCACAAAGTGTGCCATGGAAAAAATGTCCTTCATCAAGCCGACTTGATGACCGCGCTCCGAGTTGTCATTTTGGTTGATGCAAATCGCGTCAACCCAGAAGTATTTTGGTAATATCGTGCCGGACTTCTTCTGCTGTGAGATGCAGTTTTCGTCGTTGTTGGCGATATTTTCCAGTTGTTGGAGGGCGTGCCATAGATTCTCTCGCACCCGGAATGCAACTTCGTTGATGGTTATGTCGTGGGTTGGTTCAGGCGCTCCCCAAACGTATGAGAGAGCGATAAACGGAGGAGCGTCGTTAAGCGAGTGTGTTGTCAGCGTGCATTGCAAGGGTTCGTCTTCCTGCTGGGGCTGAAATTGCAGGAGCCTGGTTGATTTTGTTTCGCAACTCAGCGTAGGGTAGATTTCATCTGTCAAAGACATGATTCTGTAATTTCGGTGGACCCCGTGGTGATCTGAGAGTGACAGAGTGCTTGTGTGACTGGACCGTTGAGTAAAGGCGGCCCAGATCAGCTATGATATTGCGAATCTCGCCCTCGAACTAGCGAACGTGGTTCTTGTTGATGCAATCATGTGAGAAACCTCAGCAAACTAGACAACATTAGTAAGGGTGCAGAAACTGGCTCTGTAGGGTGATGCACGTGAGCGGGTATCCTGCCACAGACTAGCACTGATTGGATCTTCTTTGTGACGCAAAGGAGGGGGCAATCGGTCAGACTCGCTGCCGCAATTTGTACAATGACTGGAGAGAACATCCTCAACCCCAGAGACAGCCTACGTCCATGTCCGTCGATTCGCTAGACACATTGTTGTCATAGCCTGGAGGTATTCCATCAATACCAACACCAGTGCGTGGATCTAGTTCAGAGTCACCGGACGCGAAACCACCTCGAACTCTTCCATAACTTAACGTGGCTCGCATTGCAAGATAGCTCACATTGAAAAGTTCCATGTAGCAGGTAGGTATTAATATGATTGTGTCAACTATAGCGATACTACTCAAGCCCGGCACATCTGTCCGTTGGCTGCAACAGTCCACGCCTCGCTACCGACGCCCTTAAGGACGTAGAAGAGCGATTCAGGATCATACTTCTTCTTGATCGTGAGCAACTTGGCGTAGTTGGTACCAAAGAAGGCATTCTGCCAATCCGGCTGCCTGAAGTCAGCCTCATTCATGTACGAAGCGCTACCCGGAGTAACAGCCGTAATCCAAGGCATGAACTCCTCCGTCATGCGTTTCTGCGAAGCCTCCATATCGGCCCACGGCGCAGCATTGTCCCAGTTGGTAATGAGCTGGAGCTGCATGACGGCCTTACGCCACGCCGGGTGGACCGAGTTCTCAGGCGCACCGGCGGGCTTGTTGTAGTGTCCGACGCTACCGGCGAGGAGGACGCCGTTGGCGGTCAGGTTCTGGACGACCTTTTGGTATTCTGCGTTGTTGTTCTCGATCGCTTCGCGGGGGATAAGACGACCACCGAACTGGTAGCGCGTCACCTCAAGGTTGCCTTGGGGAAGAGGACCCATGTAACGGTCGTAGTGGTCGCGGTAAGACAGCTCGCTGTAAGCAACGGCTAGAGTGATACCAAGTTCCTCCTGGAGGGCCTTGGTGAAGGGCGCAAGGACGACGTCGCGAACGTAGGCAGCAGTCGAGTTCCAGACAGTCAAGGGACGAAGGACGAGGAACTGGGCGTTGTGGAGGAAGACAGCAAAAGCGCCCTGGTCTGTCATGGCGGGCAGCAGCTCGTGGAACTTGGAGACAGCGGCGTTGAACTTCTCGGGCGTGGTCGTCGCGGCGAGAAGCTGGAAGGCAGCACCGCCGACGGTTTGGGCCGGGTAGGCACGGACGGTCAGGCCGGTGACGACGCCGAAAGTGCCGCCGCCGCCACCGCTGAGGGCCCAGTACAAGTCGGTGTTCTGTGTCGCAGAGGCGACGACAGTCTTACCGTCGGCGGTGACTACTTGGAAGGCGAGGGTCTGATCGGCTCCGAGACCGAACTGAGTTGACAAGGCAGAGTGACCACCTCCCTGAGTGAAACCGCCAGCAAGGCCAACTGTGGCGCATTCACCAGAGACGACAGCAAGGCCCTTTGCATGGGCAGCCTCAAGGATCTCGTAACCGAGGACACCGGCACCGACATTCACGGCCGGGCCGGTGTAGTACTTGTCAGACCATGTTGAGAAGTCAATGGTCTTCAAGTGGTTGGTCCAGATCGCAAGGGCCCCGGCACCGGTAGAACGTCCAAGGAAGCTAAAGAGAGGAAGCTGTCAGCTACTGTGGAGCGGGGCTTGTAGTCGAGATCAGGCTACTCACTCATGACCGGTGTTGCGGACGACGACTCGGAGGTTGTTGAGTTTGGCAAACGTGAGAGCAAGGCTGACGTCTGCGGTGCAGCGGACATCGACAGCGTAGCTAACATAGTTGCCGAGGGTGCAGGGGACAGCTCTGTCAGTAAAAGGGTCGCAGGACTGGTTGGCAAAGTAAGATTGCATAACAGAAGACGAGGAGGGAATGCTAAAACAATCATGTCAGCAACACACTCCGTCTGGAACAGGTTGGTTGAGGGGGTAAACCGAGGAATAGACGGGACTTACTGTGTCAAGGGGTTGGTCCAGGATGACTGCAGAGCAGCACAAGCCGCGGCATCGTATGTAGGATCATGGCAGGGCGATCCAATGGGCTTGGTGGCGACCAGACGCCCACCAACGGTTGCGTTGAGCAGGTTCCAGGCGGAGACTGAGGGCCAACAAGAGTCACCGGGCAGGCAGTGACATTGCTGCTTGGGGGTTGCTGCAGCTGTTGTGATGGTAGCCAAGGCGGTGGCTACGGCCAGATAAGAGAGCCTCATGTTGATGACTTGAGTTGGGCAAGCAGTCAAAAGGCCTAGAGATGGGAGAGGAGGTGGAGGGAGAGAGAGTGAGGGGTGGGTGACAGATTAGGTGCAAGCCACGAAAAGTGTGACTGGTTCTGGAACTCATATATCCCTCGCATCCATCATGCGGGATGCCAACATCTCTACCCCTGGAAGCACGAGGGCCTCGGCTTTTCGAGATGGATGTAAACTCCGCCTCCTTTCGAACTCGATACGGATTGTCATGGCAGCATTGCAACTGCGTTATCCAGAGTCGTATGTGGCAACTGCGTTGGAACTGTGTTGGTAATCTCCAGATCGATAGACTCACGGCTGCAATGCCCCAAACCGGTCCGACTGACAGTCTGGAGTACGCGGACGGGAAGAAACCATGTCGGCCGAGACAGGGCTTTTTCGGGGTCCCCTTCATAAGAATAATGGAACTTCCTATTAAGGCGTGTGACATCCGACGAGCACCCGCATTCTTTCTGCGCAACCGTGGGGCCGGAGTCGACCGGGGTGAGGGACAGAGAACGGATGAGACACCAAGCGGCCCCGACAATGACAAGCCCAGTGTCAATCTGTTCGTGGGGGCCGACTAGTTCTTGGTCTCCCCCAGCTTGGAGCCCACAGATCTAAATGAAGTCCCAATGATTAAGGTTGAATTAAACAGAGACTAAAACGACAACACGAGCTTCTCCTGCATTCTAGCTCCAAGACGGCGGCTTCAAGCGCTTCTTATCACAATTACCATAGAAGCCACCGCAAGAGGTGTGGAAGAAAAAGCCACCGCTACCAGATCTAATACTGAGTCAAAAAATGCGCCACTGAAGGAATATTCTCCAACGATTCCTTCACCCGCGATCTAGTAACGGGACTAATTTCCGAGACCCAGACGTCAGCCGCTGCTGTGCCGCCGGTGATTTCGATGCATTGCTGCACCTTTTTTTCCTGCAGGGGCTGCTTGGCCGGGGGCGCGAACGACGGGGTTGGTTCCCGTTTGGGGGAAGCCAAGAACCTACCAACCAGAAAACCGGACGGCTAGTTCGGAAAAGTTCCAGCTAAAGAGGGGGGCAGTATCAGCTTTCCCTAACGTACCCTAGTCTCGAAGGAGGACTTCGTAGACAAGAGCTCCGAAGTAGCTGCATCGGTTCGTGTCGCAGAAAGTGTTGGACCAAAGGAACAGCGTATCATCGTCCCCTCGAAGCGAAGGGAGAGTCGGGTAAAGTGGTAGACTAAGGGACTAGTGGTCAGTTATGGCGCGCCCTTGGGAATTCCTCGACAAGAGTTGGCGACTTGGCGATGAACCAAACCTGGGAGGTGGCCGGTCTGCCACATGGAGGACCAGGAATGTAATCTATGCAAGAAGCCCGTCCGATTTCATTTATGAAGAGAAGATCTTCCGGATCTCTGGGAATCCTCCAAGACGGAACCGCTGCTGCCCTTGCCCGCCCGTGAACAACAATGGCATCCTTCTTCCGCCTCGTGTTGGCGTTGCTCCTTGGCATCCTCGTCGCCGTACGGGCGCAGGAAACGACGATTTCTGCCACCAAACTCACTTATCCGGCATGCGCTGTGAGTTTATTCCTCTATCCCTTGGAACATTTTGACATTTCGGGGCGCCGTTGGGAAAACCGTTGGAGAAAAGTGGCTAACCGGCTGGGCATCTTCCCACAGACAAAATGCATAGCTAGCGCTTTTGGTGGCGGCTACTGTGCTCCCACAAACCAGACTTGTATTTGCACGAACCAGCAATTCCAACTAAACGTCACGCTGTGTGTCTCGGCAAGTTGCACGATACCAGAAGCTCTCGGTAAGTCCCTGATTCTCTCTGTCATTCGTTGATGATTGTCATGAAGGCTTACTCGATTTCACCACAGCCACGAAAAATGCGAGCTTAACAAACTGCGGCGCTCCCGTGCGTAATCGATCCGGCGAATATGTCGTCCTCTCCAACGTCATGGCCATCCTGGCAGCGGTCTGCGTTCTCAGCCGGTTCGGATACAAGATCTTTCTCGCGGGACTCGACGTCGGCTGGGATGACTGGTTCGTAATGGCGACGTTGATCGCAGCCATGCCGAGCGCCGTCATCACTGTTCATGGAACCACTGCGAACGGTCTGGGAAGAGACATTTGGACGCTGACGCCTGAGCAAATCACCAACGTCCTCTTTTACTTCTATATCATGGCCTGGCTGTACTTCTTGCAGGTGACGCTGGTCAAGCTCGCCATTATCTTCTTCTACATGCGCATCTTCCCCGCGCGAGAGGTCCAGCGCGTTCTCTGGGCGACGACAATCTTCATCATTGTGTGGGGGTTCGCGTTCGTCATCACTGCAGTTTTTCAGTGCAAGCCGATTCACTATTTCTGGGTCAAGTGGGATCGCATGCACGAGGGCAGTTGCGCAAACGCAAACGCCATCAGTTGGTCCAACGCCGCCATCAGCATCGCGCTAGATCTATGGATGCTCGCAATCCCCCTCTGGCAGTTGCGAGCTTTGCGACTGCACTGGAAGAAGAAGGTCGGAGTCGCGTTGATGTTCATCGTGGGCACATTGTAAGTTTCTTGACTCGCGCACACTACCAAGACCTGGGGTTACTGGGTCTTGGATTGTTTCTTCCGTGCGAGAAAAAACAAAAACTAACGTCGCATCAGTGTCACCGTCGTGAGCATCATCCGATTGCAGTCCCTGGTCGACTTTGCAAAGGGATCCAACGCTACCATGGACTTTATCGACGTTAGCGTGTGGAGCACGATTGAGATCTGCGTAGGCATCATGTGTGCGTGCTTGCCGTCCATCCGCATGATCTTGGTCAAGATCTTCCCGGCTATGTCCGGCTCGACACTTCGTAGCAAGGGACGTCAATATTACCAGCAGTATGGGAGCGACGTCAGGTCCAAGAATGCCGCTCAGCGCAGCCAGGCTCGGACTGTTGGTGTAGTCACCGTTGACCGGTCCAACTCCGTTCACGATGCACATGATCGGCAGATCAAGTTCCAGAAGACGTTTACGGTATCCTATAGTGATAGCGACGAGGCGGATCTTGTGCCGATGAATAATCTCCAGAAGCCGGGAAGAGTTCATCGCTAGTGGATTCCAGAATCTGCTATTTGAGCGGGTGTTCGCGAGAGAGAATCTATAGAAATTTTGAAATAATCCGTGTTCTAAAAATCATACTACGATCAATGCGATCGAGCTGCAGTGCCGATCGCGATTTTGGAGAGCGCTAATGACTCGACAATGAACGAGGCCAGGGTCACTGGCAGGGCTGCAAGGGACTCATGAGACTCCGAGCGTACTGGTGGGTATTGCTGATCCCAGCTACTCACTGCCGAGATGACCGAAAGAGACCTCTATCGAATTGATAGAGCATTTCCCTTGATTCCACATCTCCGATTTCCTGGTAATCTGGTTTCCAGTTGTTATCCGAGCCTAGGTATCGTCCCGAAGATCGACATTCTAAACGCAACTCCTCGGCTCCGAGTGACAAGTCTCATCTTAGCCTTCTGCTTACTCCCGGACCTCGTCCTCCGCATCTACGAACTCATCGTCAGATGATACCTCACCGCCACTCGGATCAATAAACACATAGCTGGCCGTAGATATTTTCCTATGGCCCCACTCATCTTCAGATGCAACTATCGTCGATTCATCGTCGGCGTCTTGTCCCGTCAGACCCTGAAACGGCAACTCCTGCCCTCGTGCAGAGTTCATCAATGAGACCCATGCAAGCTTCTCTGATTCGAATGGCTTACGGGTAACGGCGCAGTGGTTGTCGCGGCATCTGACGAAACACTCGTTGGGAGTGTGCCCATCTTTGTCTCTGATCGCCGTATCCACGCCACAGAGATTGGCGGATGCTAGGATGTCCATCGCCTCCGTGCTCCCATGTAAAGCTGTCAGGTGGAGCAAGCTCCTCTTATTGTTGTTCAAGAGGCTCAGTCTTTCGGGCTGCATCAAACTTTCATTAGGCACCGGAGACTGCAGTTCCTGACAAAGAGATAATTTGATAGAATCGCGGTTATCACCGGGTTCCCACGAAATGACTTGAGTTACCCCTGATAGAACCGCATACGGACTACCTTTTCTCAAATAGTAAAGCGGAAGACTCACCGGGAAGCCCTGAAGGTAAGGAGCCATCACCTTCAATACTGCAAGGCTGTTGTTTGCGATGGCTTGCCCGAGCGGCGTGTCGCCTGTATGATTCCTGGTAAGTAAGAAGTGACTGTATTCTCTCAGTAGAATCTCGACGAGGTCTTCCTGATCGGACACACAAGCATGATGCATGATATTCGCCGCTTCATCATCGCTGATGTGCACATCAGCCCCCTTGCGCAACAAGTACTTCAGTATCTCCGGACTACTCATGTGCATCATGGGTGTTCGCATGTGCTTATCAAGGGCGTTGACGTCTATCCCTACGTCGAGCAGTGCAACGATGCTATCAAAATCGTCTGCCCAGCATGCACAGTGCAGCGCCGTGAACCCACAAAGGTCTCTGGCTTGGACATCGGCGCTCCATGGGTCCTGAGTAATGAGCCGGGTAGCGTCTGATTTGCCGTTCTCAGCTAGCCAGTGGAGCGGAGTCCGGCCGAGGATGTCCTTCGTGTTGATATCTGAGTACTCGGATTCTCGTAGAAGGGCTTCCGTTATTTCTTGACCATGTCGCGCTCCCAAAGCGGCGACTTTGTGAAGATTGGTCCAGCCTAGCCTATCGGCAAGATCCTCTGTATCAACTGGGAGGTTGTATTCTTGGCTTCCTCTGCGAGTAAGGACAGTGATGGCTGCGGACTTTTGGTTTTCATCTGCGAGATTCTGGTCCATGCCTTCATTCTTGAGCAAGTTGAAGACGGCTGGCTGATGAATCTTAGCAGCGACCTGGCATTCGAGATAGTAAATCAGCACGATTCCGCACTAAGGTATTCCACAAGGTACGTCGGAATGCAGTTTGAGTAGTCTTACGTGCATAATGGATTGGCCCCATTGATTCCTGACATACATCAGATTCCGGTCTTTCGATAGTAACTCCCGCAACTGCCCGAGATTTCCGGCCATCACGAGCGGCCAGACAATATGGTCCTCTTCCGGGACGATCAGCGGCACGTTGACTGAAACCTTTGCCCCAGCATCGAAGACGTTCTCCAGGTTAACGGAAGCCATTATCGCTCTCGAAACCAGCCAGGGTGGGAAGTAGCAGGTGATGTTGTGTTTACTCAGGCTCCTCCTACATGGTGCATAGTTGCAAGGTCGCATTGATATTGACGAGTCGAAACTCCAGTGGAGCTGGCCGACGACGTTTCTCAGCCACGGGGGTGTACGGACCGCTGCCCGGGTGTGACATCGGCATCGGCACCCTCGCGGACATCGATGCGAGTTTACACTCGCACAGATGAGAACAGCTGGACTATTGGCTGATACCCCGCTGTTGGCCACTTGTAAATCGGGCTCGCTCGTCGATATTTGTCCTGGACTCAGGCTCTGGGCCTGCTCAATCAGAGGCTGCATGGAACGAAGAAGGTTATGTTGCCTAGCGTTCAAACTCTGAAAGCCGATCTGCATGTCTTTTTGGGTTTTATGCTGTTGCTCTTGCAGGGCACAAATGGCATCATGGCTTGCGACTGTTACACTCTGGATTTGAAGGACTGTTGTTGTGAGGAGCTCTCTGTTGCGGGGTAAGCATGCCAGCTTGGCTTTCGAAGATCGTTGGATCAATGGCTCACTTACTTGTTGTCTAGTTGAAGTAAATCGAGTTGAGTCCGTAAAATATCGCACGAATCTCGAATGTTCATCTTGATACGTTGGATATCGGCTTCCGATCGCAGCATCCTTGCTCGCTTGACTTTGGTAACAACATTTCCATCCTCGGTTTGCCGACACGAAAGTCGGGTGCTGATGCATTCAAAAAGACCATTAGTTCTGGCTGAGATAGCGACGCGATTACTTGTGACCACCCACTGAACTAGCAATTCAAACTCTGTCACGCGCTCTTTGATGGCTTTGAGGACATGAACAATGGATGGTGGTATTGGATCTTCATGACTATCTCTGTGCCGGCTACGCAGACAGGCCTCTGTATCCAGAAGTAAACCTATGGCTAGATTAGCGCCTCTGAACTGTTACGTACCAAGCTACAGGGTAAGCTCAACTCACCTCGTAATATCTCGGCATCGGTAATGAGCTGCTTGAATATTTCTGGTGCTTCCCATAATGACTTGAGCGCGCCTAAAGCTAGCCCTGAGCCTTTGCCAGTCAGTTGAAGTATCGTGAGAATGCTGGTTGTGATCGACAAGGGATCCATTTTGGCGCGATGTTGTCCGCATCGTTCTGTTGAAGATTACGAGGAGAATCCTTTTACACACCTGAAGTGGAAAAGTTCTGCACTTCTATGAAGAACATACCGCCAGGACAACAATCGGGCCTTGGAACCACTTCCGGCTTCTCTAAGAGATCGAAAATTTACAGCCCTCTTTACTTGTATTACACCAGAGGCAGGCTATGGTGCGGAGGGTGGTCAGCCCATTTCATGTGGCAGCGTCGGCAGTCGTTATCAACGCTGGAGCCGGAGCAGCGGGCCAAACACAATGGCCGTTACAGAACGTGGTACAGGTCGTTCCATGCTGTTCAGCTACACAGAGTATCAGCAGAGCGACCGGGAGTGGGATCCTTCGACTTGACCTCTCCAGTGTGGTTGGTAGTTGAGCAAGGTCCCTACCAAGAACAGTGTGATCAAGACGTGTTATCCTGCGCGAGTGATATGCCAGAAGACCCTCGGAGTGGCTGGTTCAAGTCAGGGCGGAAAGTCGTTGGCGACAATTTCTTCGCACTATGACCCGCTCCAAGTGATCATCCATCGACCTTCGGTGTGTCGGATTTGCGAATATGGTTGGCATCACGCCTCAGGACTTGATGTTACGAAAAAGGATACATTGTGGACTGGTGACTGGCTCATGAGGCCGTTTTCTCAATGCCCTGTTGACTGCGAACATTTCAAGTTATTAGAAGCGGATTTAACAAAAGAACAAAGAGCCCTAGCATGATCGCCTTGCTTCGCGACTCTTGCGATTATGGACAGCACCACGGAAGGTGTATTGTCACTCACGATTGATCATTGGAGCATATGGATATTTCCACTTCCAGCCTCTGAAGATGTTGCTTGGCAATACGTCCCCCTGACGCCGCCCATCAGATTTTGATCCGCGTCCGGTCGAGACCAGACTGAGCGAGCTGGTGGAGTCCTAACACATCGCCCGGAGCTTTTGGTCAGATTGGTTGTAGTTACACAATCGTCGTCTAGGTCTCATTGGTTGGTGTTCCGTGAGAGATGGGATGCCGGTAGCCGCCAGCCTCCAGAAATTCACCAATTCGAGGGCGGGAAGTTGCGCATGTTGGGTCACATGATACTAGAATCAGGCAACCAACTCACTATGATGACACTCGCTTGCCCCGCATTCTTTTTGTTCCTTTTGCACGTTTATCCTGAGCTCAACGGCGAGGCGTTCGGTCGAAGCTTGACGTCATCCAACCAATTCAGAAATGAAGCAACTTAACACCGTGATAACAGATTTATCTGTCACATCCTGTGCCTCACCTGGCGTCCCAGTCGCCTGCCCTCTGGAAAAGAGGACATGGAATCGACTCGAGAAAGATCTCTACCTTCACGCAGGCGAGCAGGCAGCATGGATATACCTTGAAGAAAGGGATAAGGCCGATGTTGCCAATGGCAATCGCGTCATCACGGATATCTGGGTTGGCGCCACGAAGCCCCCCGGTGATGGCGAGGACAGCTGGGAGCAACGATCCTGCGGCATTTGGATCCTGAGAAGTCACTACACTGACAACTATTTGAGATTATTGACAGGTATTGACGTTCTCTTCGGAACGGATGCTGTCGACCCACGACCAGGCTGGACACTATTACCCGCACCCCTCCAACTTGAGGATCAACCGGACGTGCCCGCACCGAGGCTTTCAGCGCGATTTGGTCCACCAATACCCAGACCTGACGACCCGAATGCGCCTTTACGTGTCAACAAAGACGGAAAATTCAAGATCGTCCAGATTTCCGACACGCACATGGTCACGGGTGCTGGAGTTTGCAACGATGCCATGGACGCAAATGGTCAACCTATACCTAGTATTGAAGCTGATCCGAACACGATTAAGTTCATTGGGGAAATTTTGGACGTCGAGAAACCCGACTTGGTGATTCTCAGCGGGGACCAAGTACATCATGATATACCAGACACACAATCCCCTTTGTTCAAGGTTGTGTCACCTTTGATCAGTCGATCGATTCCTTTCGCGGTGGTTTTTGGAAATCATGACGATGAGGGCACCTACGCGCTGTCGCGTATGTCTCGAAGCACTTTTTCTGTTCGATTTTCTGTGCTGACACTTGTTGACGTAGGCGGAAAGCAAATGGCAATACTGCAAGATCTCCCATTTTGTCTAGCACAGGTTGGGCCCGAGTCAGTAGATGGTGTGGGCAACTACTATCTCCAACTCTTTTCCAGCGACGAAAAGCAGGTCCCATTAGCAACAATGTTCTTTTTCGACTCTCATGGGCAAATCACGAGTGATGGCAAGAATCCCGACTACGAACCAATCCAGCAGAGTCAAATCGACTGGTTCACCTCCACTTCACGGCATCTTAAAAAGACCCGCATTGCAAAGAGAGACGCTAGCTCTCCCTTTCTTTCTTTGGCTTTCATGCACATACCCTTCCCCGAATACGCAGGAGACGATTTGTCGATAAGCGGTGGCAAGCGGAGAGAACCAACCGAAGGCCCCAGCATCAACACGCATCTTTACGATGCTCTGGTGCAAGAAGAGGTTTCTGCGGTGGGCTGTGGGCACGATCATGTCAACGACTTCTGCGCTTTATTGCCGAAGTTGCAGCGAGGTCATTTGGTAGAACGTGACGATCAATCGGTCAAGCATGGCCCGTGGCTCTGTTACAATGGAGGTAGCGGGTTCGGGGGTTACTGTTCCTATGATGAAAATCGTTACTACAGAAGGACACGAGTCTGGGAGATCGACGCGAACAAGGGCGATTTGAAGACATGGAAGCGCATCGAGTACTCCGGTAACCGATTCGAGGAAGTAGTACTTGTAGAAGGTGGCCGAATCACAGCTCCCTCAACAATGTTAGAAACCGAGAAGACATGCAGAATCCTATAGAGAACGAGATCCCATGCTCCGCAGAAACGTCTTAGGAGCAATAATACACAATAAGGTGTTGGTCATGTGATTATAGAAGGGCAGTGATTTTATTGGATTGAGAGATGGAAAAACCACAGGCTCTGAGTACGATATGCGTAGCCAAAGTCCGAGGCCAAACACCACACAATCCTGCAAACGATAGAAGACCAGATACAAGTACAAGCACAAAATTGTCCAAGCCAATCAAGCTGAGTGGAATAATACAGCCTCGTATGACTGTGGATGTTCCAAACTCGCGAAGTCGAATCGAAAAGCCATCGATGGCAAGAATCCCACGCTCCTCCGCCATTGGCATCATCAACCGGAACCTCTGCCACAGTCGGTGAAGGGTGACCAACTCATCCATCATCAGTACGTGGGAATGACCTGTCGTTAGTCGTAGCGAATTAGCACATTGTTATCCACGCATCAAATCAAAGATCCTCGTCGTCCATCATGCAGAGGCCGTCGTCGTTCGAGTCCCAGGACTTGCGCTTGTGGAGCGAAGGCACCCATGTACTCTCACGGGACTTGAGGAGCTCCTCGAGGGTGGCGTTCATATGGTCGGAATCATCGGGGCTGTTGCTCACCTTCGCTCCCTTGTAGGACTTATCCGACGCGGTAAGTAAGTCTAGGACGGACCTCTTGGTCCGAATGACACTGGTAGTGCTGGTGACATTGTTACGGGGAGCCGAGTTGGCGCTCTCCTGTCCGACGGCGCTCTTGATCTTCTGGGAGGCAGCGTCGACGATGACGGGGACGACCTTGCGCATGGCAGTCTTGGCGATGTCCAACACGGAGGGGGCTATCTTCTGGACGCCGGCCTTAATAACGTCGAAGAAGCCCTCCTCGCCGTTCTGGGGCTCACTGACGCGAAGGCGGTCGAGCTTCTCCTTGGGCAGAGCCATGAGGGTCTGCAGAGCGGCTTCTGCGGCAGCAGCACGCTTGAACGCGAGGAGTGTGGCATACTCGTGAGAGCCGACGGCGGGGGGGTCGAAGGAGGACTCTGCGCCACCACCGAGACGGCCGATGACGCCGGAGAGTGCTCCCTGCGCGGCACTCGCAATGAAGGGCTTGGCGAAGCTGATGCCCTTGCTCAAGACGGAGCCGAGGGAGTCAAAGAAGCCCTCTTCGCCCGAGACCGGACGCGTGGGTGCCAGAAGGCCCTGAACAAAGGCTCCTTGCGAACTCTGCTGGTTGTATTGGAGCCCCCTGAGCTGCTCGCGAGGAAGCTCGATATCAGATTCCTGGAATCCAGAGGCTCCTCGTTCCTGGATCTTGGCCATCTGGCGATGAGCCAGGTGAAGCCCGGCCTCAGTGAGCTGGGGCTGAGCAACCTTGGCGATGGCATCCAACTTGGGTCTGAAGGCGTTGTACTTCGAGTTGATGGTGTGGAGAATCTCAGCGGTCTCGGGGGTATCCTCGAGCTTCAGTAGGGCCTGAAGCGACGCCTCGGCGAGCACCGCGCGCTCAGTGGCGCCCGAGTTGATCGCGGTCTCGACCGCGGCAGTCGCATTGCCGTCCTCGAGAGCGCTTTCGGCACCTCCGACAGTCGAAAGGATGCCGCCAGCGATGGCACCGATGGGCCCACCAATGGGGCCAAGGAAAGGAGTGACAGTCGAGACGACAGGTCCGGCGACCTTGGCAATCGACCTGATGATATCGAAGAAGCCCTCCTCATCCGAGCTCTCCTGAAGACCCGTGCCCGAGTTGTAGTGGGTCGGCTGCGGGGGAGAAGACACGTTCTCCTGGCGAAAGCCGTTGTAGCCGTTGCTGTGTCCGTTGGAGGGACCATTGGAATATCCGTTGCCGTTACCGTTGTACGTGTTGCCGTTGCCGTAACCGTTGGAATAGGGGGCGCTGCCGTTCTTGACCTGCCCGTTGCTGGGCGCGCCGTTGGAGGCGCTGATGTTGCTGCTGGGACGAGCATTGCCGTTGGCAGTGAGAACCTTGATACCCTGGCGCTGTGCTTGTGGGAACTGGGGGCTGTTGAAGAGATCGAGGAAAGCATGGTAGTTGTTACCATAGGGGCCGCCGATGGAGTTGCCAGAGTTGCTCTCGTCGCCACCACCACCGTAGCAGTGAGTGCCAATGGACACCAGCGCGTTGTTCTCAACCTGGAAGATTGGGGCACCAGACTGGCCTGTTTTCAGGTATCTGTCAGCATGTTACCATAGGAGCAGAAGAGACACTTTGTCAACTTACCGGCGAAAGTCGAGACCTGGTACTCAATCATGTGGCGCTCGCTCTTCTTGAGGTCATACTCGGTAGGCGCGAACTCCTCGTACATCTGGGCACCCTTCTCTCCGCTCTGTCCGTTCTGGCCCTCGAGGTATTTGTCACCAGGGTATCCAACAACACCAATGTTGGCGTTCTTGGCGAACAAAGGAGTCTCCTTGAACGGGATGTTTCGGAGGTTTCCGGTGAAGGGACGGTTGACCTTGATGAAGGCAACATCGTGTCTGCGGTTGCCGGCAGCCTCGATCCACTCAGCGGTGGTGATGATACGCTCGCCAAAACGGGCTTGGACATTGGGGGTGCCAATGGACGCGCGGCCAGAGTATCCAATGTAGCACTTGATTTCCGTAGCGCTCTGGAGGCGGTGACCCCAGTCGTAGACGACATGACCGGCGGTGACGACGGTGTCCGGGCTGATGAGCCAGCCGGAGCCCATCATCCAGACGCTGCCGTTGCCCTTGTTGAAGCAAGCCTGGATCTTAACGACAGCTGGAGTTCCTTGTGTCAGCTTTGCCTGATTCCAGGGGATTACAGATGGGGGTTTTGTAGGATATTGAAGGGCTTACATCGGAACTTGCCACCATCAGCAAAGCTCTGAGGCTCGACGCGACGACGCTTGTCATCGTCGAAGACGGACTCAGTGCCGTTGCTGCCATCATCGGGCAAGATGGCAGACTCGGCAGGGAGATCAGGGTTGGAGGACTTCAAGCTCCAGACCGCAGCGCGAGGAGCGCCGCTGGTGGCGATGGAAGTGTTGGAAGGGGCGTTGTAAGACATTGTTTGGTAGGGAATGGCTTCGTAGTGAATGACTTTTCTCCTGGGTTTTGCCGGGCAGATGTTACTGAGAGCGAAAAGAAGAGCAAAAAGTCGATTGACCAATGAGAGTGAATATGAGAACAAAAGTTGGAAAGTATGCTTGTTTGCGAGAATCTTGGCGAACTGATAGTGATTGGAAGCTGGTGATAACGGGAAAGAGTTGTCAGGATGGGGTGGTTTCGATGGAGGCTTTTATAGTTTGAGATGAAGCCAGCAGTTTGGATTTCGCACGACTCGGTTGATCATCTTGCCACTCAGCTATCAGCCGCAGCTTAGCACCCGTGTCGTGACTAGAGTAGCTGTGTGATCAAAAATGGTGGTGGAAGGTTCAGCCAGCCTCTTCGCGATACAAATCACAACTTCCACTTCTCCAGGGGTAAAGTCGAGGCACACATGAGCTTTTCCTCCCTTGCCTCGCCTAACTAGCATCCATACCAGCTTCAGTTGAGGCGATATTCAAAAGACATCCAATGGCTTGAGTGGTTCGTACTCCTCCTCGGGTGTAGAATCCTCGAATTGTTTAGGAAGCTGTCGCGATCTTCGCCACTTAGAACCCACGACGATCATTTTGGCGCTATCTCGCGCACCTTGTGAACACAAACTTGGAATTTGAAGGAACCACCTGACTTACTGCTGTCTGAATACCTCAGCACGATACATGTATACAACGTATAATCATCATGTACGCATATGTCATACCATCGGCATCCGCGTTGAAAATTTCCCCCTCTGCCAGGAAAGCCCAAGAGGCTGGCTGACCTCAATGTCAGTTCGGAATATGTGATCCGAGGCGTCATCCCAAGCGCTGGATAGAAGCGGGTATGCAAGGCACATTGCTCGTCGCCTTATTTGGGATATTTTCGCTGGAACAGGCAAGTCCAGAACTTTTGAGGCGGTTGCATATCACGGCTTTTCCCCAAACTGAGTCCATAGATCACACTCAGACGTAGTTCCGAATTCTTCCACATTGCTTTTCCGCTGCCACAGCCAACTCTCATTCGTCAAGGGTCTGAAAAGCGTTCTTGAGGGAACCCGTGTGGCTGCCTGTAATGAAATAGTGACCAACGTGACAGAGATGGTTTCGTGCCCATCATTTGACGGCATTTCACTAACATTGCAGGGGTAGAGCTGCGGTCACGACCATATGTGGATGAGGCGTAGCTCAAATAGGTAGCTTCTCGGCCCGCCCACGGCCCCGCGGTTCTGGCCCTTCCCGTCCCCACTCACATACCTTGCAGCTCAGCTGAATTCAGCCAGCCGCCGACGACTGAGCTGAACCAAATGGAACTTGCTAAACCCTTTCGCAGTAGCCGACTGCACTTTCTAAGAGCACAATAGAACCCTGATTTGCGGGGACCAATCAGTCAATAAGTGTGATGCCGCGCGGCGTGTGATTCGAGAAGCGCTGGTATGAAGGGGCAAGGCACAGCTAAACCACAACACTGAAAGACACGATGACGATTATATCGTCGCGTGGTGAAGATCGAAGACTGTGGGCCTGGGTCACTGCAAAAATAGGTATTCGAGTGAGAAACTAGGAGAAAAAGTGTTGAGAGCATTTCAGGGACGATGCATATATGGTCTGGTTCATTATCCATGGGTCAAGCATACAGCTTGCTTATATCTCAATGAGTTGCACTCAGTAGCACAAGTATGTGAATTGCCTTGCGTGACATGAATCACAATAGTTGAGATGACATCTGGCGACTTGATTTTCGATCTTCAGTGCGAAGAGGGTGGCAGACGTAGTGAGAATTATTGACAAGTGGAATAAAGTGTGGAGGAAGAGGACTATCAAAGCTCGGCGGCAACTATACCAGGCACTGATGTGGAAAGTATGTCAACAGACGAAGAGACGCGAAGACTGAGGGGGAAAGACCGGGTCTGGTCAACTGTCGCGTTATGTCGCCGCCGCGGATAAGGCAAGACGATGTGTGGAGAGTTTACAGTAGTACGTCCAAGTATCCTGTATTGCAGTAGCACTCATTATGGAATGGCGATAGTCCTGACTTTGAGTGTAATCTGGCCTATTCCACTATGGTATCGGACTCAAAGAAATGAGGGGCGATGTAGATACTTCCACGTGGCAATATTAAATTCACGAGTATCCTGAAGATGAGTTAATCAATCGCACACATAGCATTCATATGGGGCCTGTGTATATCATTAGGATCGATCTCAATTCATCCACACCTGAGAAGCTTCATCACACAGATTTTTCGAGATCGAATATGCCAGAATGTCTACTCATATCAGATCAATCGTCACTTGTCAGGCTATTGTTTGCGTATAATGAGTATTGATTTGACCAAGACCACTCACGAGTTCACTACCTACTGGGAGATGGGAATCTGCAGTGATTATGCCTTCCAACGAAGAGTAAAGAGGCTCTTCTGAAGTTTCAGAGGGTCGTTGGGTCGAGTGATACCTAGTGCTGCGGAAGCACTCGAAGTGCGATTGAAAGTATTGCCACTGGCCTACAAGATCACGATGAGAGTTCAAACGGTGGTCATAACCTCGATCAAGTCCAAATACTCGGGTCCGCTAGATATCGTTGGCTTGTTTCTAACCCGTATCTTAGGTCAAGTATTAGTTTTGCCGAGCCCGGCGCTTCATCGAAAAGTTGGACAGATAATCACGTTAAGAAGCGAAACCGAAGCGGACAAAGGAACCAAGTTTTCCGTTTTCAGATTGTTGGTAGGTCACTGCTCGATCGCGCTTAGATGTGGCTGTCGATGTGGACGTGCCCCGACCCCTTGTGGCGGCGCTCTAACTGTTTGCAGGTGTTTAGCTAGGCAAAAGCCATCTGGAGAGCTAAAGTACAATTTCCATCTAAACATGATAAAGCGCAGATTCCTTCAGTGGGGAATTTCGGGGGATTTGGCCTAAATTCTTCTCCCATGGTCGGCCTTGATATGTCTGGTTTTTCGAATTGGAAGTATCGCGAATTACTTCATCATGGACGTGAATGGGCCATCCGCAGGTGCGGTTATTGTACGTCACGATGCCTCCAGAGACTTCACAACTCATTTTGTGTTATCTTCCCCCGCAGAATACTAGCTTCTACGCAGTCTTTCAGATCAAACCCCTAGTCAGGCTAACATAGTTAGAGAACCGAATTCACATTGATAGGAATCGCGGCTGTTCTGATCGGCGCCCGAATATACCTGCGATTAGTCATTCAGAACCTTCCCCTTATCACGAGCGACATTCTTGTTTGTGTTGCATGGCTCTTTACTGTAGCATCCGCTTCATACGATGTTGTGTTCCATAAGATGGGAGTATTGCGTTCACACGTTGCCTATACCCTAGAGGGGTATGACGGGACACCCGAGGACCTAGAACTTGTGTGGAAGGTAAGCATCCTTGACTTCCGAGAAGTAAGATCCTCGATTCTGGAGAGATGCAAGGGTGTCTTGTTGTTGCAAGTCAGTTTAATAACCACTCTATGCAGTTGCAATGGAGTGGCCAATTTCCATTCTTCACAGCCTTCTATCTCTGCAAGGCAACACTCCTGAGTCTATATGCTCGATTTTTTCCGATCTTCATGGAAACTAGGCGCAAGATTCTCTGGGGAACCATGGTGTATTGTGGCTGTGCGTATGGTACCAACATGCTCACCCTACTTCTCATTTGTAGGCCTCTGCGAGGAAATTGGTAAGGCTAATCCGCTCGATCATGGAAACCTTGCCTCCAACTGAATTCTCTTCAAGGTCCCAAGATCCGGCAGTCGCATGTTCCCCAATAGTCTTCGCTCAAGTATTTCAAATCGCTTGGGCATTGAACTTTGCCGCAGATCTGATGAGTAAGTTTGGCATCACTGTGTCTATGACATAAGGTAAACGAGCATTCGGACTTCTCACACATCTCAAAGTTTTCTGTCTGCCATTCTTAGTATTGTACCGACTGCAACTCCAGAAAAATGTCAAGATCAGTGTTTACTGCACATTCTTTCTGGGAGCCATCAACTTAGCAGTCAGCCTGGCACGGTTTCTAGGCATTCAGGTGTCTGTAACATCTTTTCGCTCCTTCACACTCATTGGTGAGTCGAAACTAGTTCTAATCTGACGTCCAATAAAGCATCTTACCTCTTTGCACGGACCATGGTGCTAACACCGACCTGACAGAGTTGTGGAGTGCTATTGACTTGCAAGTCGGTTTGATCATTGCTTGTTTACCGCCCCTGCGGCCGTACTTGTCTTATGATTGGAGAATTTGGCCTTTCCGATCAGCAACTCAAATCCCTAAAAGTTCTTGCAATCGCACTGATCTTTCTGAGCTTTCTCGACAGACCGATCAGCTAACAGCACAAATGCGTGATATCGACGATGCGGGCTTGATAAATAATATCAACGACAACTTAGGACAAATCGGTACCAGACAGGATCATGATGTCGAGTCGCCAGCTTTAGGAAGTCCAAAATCGTCAGCGTCAATGCTCCGGAGCAATCATCGACCAATACAAAACATAAGTCAATGAAGGAACTAAGGGTGATGATATACCAAACAGAAACGAAAGGTTTCATTAGGAATGAAGAAATGGATTATTGGAGAAGTCTCGATTTTCTGGGTTGTTTCTCGAAGAAGACCTTCCCCTGACGAGCTCTATCTGCTATAGGAAGCAAACTTCAAGACGAGTTCCAATAAGTTGTGTCAACCCAAGAAGCCCAGCCCGGAAGAATCGTGTCAATGGAAACCGCACTTGACAGCTTCTTGGCCCAGCTCACCCGCGTGCCGCTGGCACCAGTTCCAGTGTTGCCATATTCCGCATAGTAAACGTTGGCAGTGGGGTTAGTGCCCCAAGCAGACCATCCAACAGGCTTGACGACATCGCTGAGTTGTGAGTTTTGGACGACAACGCGCGCATATTCCCTCCACGGCCTGCCCAGCACCGTAGACTCCTTGGCCACACCAGCACCTGACTTTGCTGCGATTGTGGCCTTGTTGATCACGTACCAGTAGCCGTCGGCGCTGTCGCGACCACTCGCAGTGATGTATCCGGCACCGTTGATAGCGATCGTGCACTTCTCGAACCAAGCGTTGCCATCGTTGCCGAAGATGAAGTCAGTCGCGCCCTCAATGTAGCTGTTCTTGTAGACTTGGTGTGGCTTGTTGGTATAGATCGTGTCCTGATAGCCGACGAAGCTGCAGCCGTAGTACGCTTGGTACTGGCCATTTGCAGAGATGGCTAGAGCTTGAGAGCCCTTTCCATAGCCATTTATCAGGTTGACGTTGTACAGACTGAAGTAGCTAGTCGCAACTCTCAGTGTTGCGGATAAGTCGTTACTTCCAGCATCCGCAGCTGATAGAGTATTGGTCAAGATGACTTGGTTCTTGGTGTAGTCTTGGTCGTTGGTAGTGTATGCGTAGATGACGAGCTTTCCACTCAGGCTGGGAATGGAAACTTGTCCAGAGTAAGTGCCCGGCTGGATGAAGATTGTGGTAGTTGCGGTGGAGCTGGCTGAAATGGAGTTGATAGCTGCTTGAAGCTTTGATATACATCAGCGAAGTGACATCATATTAGATCGCCATGTGAGAGCCTAGAAACCGTGGCGCCTTTGTTTTGAATTGAATTTACTCACCGTGGTGTATTGGCCACCCGATTTAGCAACGACGATTGCGCCGGATGGCGGCGATGTTCGCGAAGCCGCAAAGGCATTGCCTACTAAAACCGCCAAGGTTGAGAGTATGTCGAAGACCTTCATGTTGATGCGAGCCTGTCAGCGATAATTTGTGATTCTCTGCAATCTTCACGTCGAGGAACATATAGATGTGGCCAAGGTTTTGGAGCTGCCACGTTTTATAAACCTTTGACCCTTGGTACTATTAACCTAGCTGGAAGTACCGTCACTGCGCGTGACCTATTAAACAAGTGCTCAAGATGAAATCCTTGGCTGCATGAAAGCCAGTCACTAATAACCGCCAATCGATCCCGAATCGACCATGCGGTCGAAGCTCCAACAAACTAATGGTCTCGTACTATCTGTCGCGGGGCTCGGAGACACAGAAATAGGTGGACTAAAATTCCCCGACGGCATGCAGCCATACCTCTTATCTTTCCCCGCCGCATGCAATTTCTCCGAAGCTACGGAGTAGTCCCGGCCGCGCTATAGTATTCCCGTCCACAATGAGCTCTCTGGCCTCATCAAACCTAATTTGAACGTTGCTCAGAGAAGGGCCAGTGGCAGAGAGTCAACTGGAAATTTACATCTAGCATTGAACCTTTCGCGACAAATTGAATTGAGTCGATGGCAATGTGTTACATCTTCTGTCTAACTTTTAGCCCTCTCAAGCTCCCTACCTTGATTTATGCTTCCCACTTGATGCTTATGAAATGTGGAATGAGCAAAGATGACTCACGATTGGCACATGCAACACTGTTGGTATACACGTAGGCAGGTCAGACCTTTCGGTCGCGACTAGGTCAATAGGTTAGTATAGGTCTATTACGTATATATAAGAGGGGAAGATCGTAAGCAGAGCCCGCGATCCCTTAGTAAGTATAAGTAAGTAGAAGGGTCCGTTTATATAAACCCAGACTACCTACCTATTACTACTACTTAACTACCTAATAGGGCCCCTTTTCTGCCTCGTAATCCAACAAACACAGTGCTGTTTATTAACGCCAACCCGCAACTCCGTAAATCAGATTGATATAGGGTATACAAAGGCAAATCCCATCAATTCTGTCGTGAATTTTTCATAGAAAATCAGTCAGTGTGGTGCGACTCACACTAAGGTACTGCTTGCTTGAGTTTACGTTCTGTCACTTTCGAACTTTAGAGAATGCCGTTCTAGCAATCAGGAAGGCACACTAGCTTAAGGAAAAGGAAGTTATGTTCCAATTGGGCCGGCGTTACCGCCATGCATGCATTTACTATTAAACTTGAATAAGAACTTCTCGGTTCCGAATATCTACTGCCCGTTGTCTTTGGATCCGAGGTCAAATGCTTGAAATCGACAAGCAGGATGAAAATAAAGTCGACAAGTGGAGTAAGCTAGGCAAACGCACAGTTTGTGCTTAGAAACAGCTAAACGCGCGGCACTCTGGTCTTGCTAAGAGTAGAATATGTTTATCATGTAACCTTAGTTTTACTGGAAGCAACTTCGTTCAAGTTGCCAGCGCAACAATCGGCGCATTTCCATCATTTGAGGTTCTTAGTAAGCTACCGCAAATCCACTGGAAAATTGAAAACGAGTCTAATCTTCCACCAGAGACGGCGCATGATTCTTAGCAAGCATCGCATCCCTCAGGGTTCAAATAGGAGAACACAGCAGTACCCGGATCCTTTCCCACTATCTAGGTACGTGGCTCATCCCCCCGGAGGCTTGCCATACGGAATGAGAAAGACAATGTATCTCATAGACCCTACTTAGACGCTTCATTCAGTTGTTCCAGTCTTAACGTCTGTCTCAGTGCGATTCATTTATCGCCATCCAATTCATCAGCTCTTGCCAGTTTACACATTGGTGCTTCGTCCCAAACCCGGTCACTCCGCCAAACTCCGGCTCAAGGATCTCAACTGTTAGATCCTGTACGTGGAGGAAAGTCAGCCCTCCCATACTGAAGGGATGAAAATGCACCAAATGCAGGTTGTAGGGTAGACTTACGGGGCGGCACATGATGGCTTGGCGTAAGAGATCAAAGCAATGGCCAACATGGTATATGTCATAAGAGGAGTTGGCATCTGTGGTGGAATCTGCACCGCTGTGTTTTTGATGGGACGTGGCATGTGAGGAATTTTGCCGGTTGCCTTTCGTGCCTGGGTGAAGTTCGTACAGTGCTAGGCGCAACATATCAAGGCAGTGGATTTGATGGAACACAGCAAAACAACTAACACCAGATGTGATAGCAGGGTGTTCGAAGAAGCCACCTTCTTTCGGAATCAAAGAAGACCACGCGTTATTGACACTAATAGAAGGCGGCATGGCGTAGTCTTCGTCTAAGTCGAAGATTCTCGGCTCGTTCTTCACTACTTCCACATCAGTGATGCGGTCTTACAGGGGCCCGTTCTTCTCAATGTGTCGAAAGAACATCTTAATCATAGACTTACACCGTATTTCCGATCTCACGGGCTCTTCCCCGTAAAGTGTTTGTTGATGTAAAGGTGGAGAAGCATGTCTGTTGAGGACGACTAATGCAATCATGAGAAAGATGTAGAAAATATGGACTTTCCCATGCTTCCAGACTCGCTCTAATCTCGATGGCGTCTTGTTGACCCCTTCCCCGATACTCATGTACTGATGAGACGGGATCTGGAAACGAGTCACGACGCTTTTCAGCATCTGGAGCAACGTTGCCATCTTGCGACGCAAGCACCCAAGACGCCGAGTATCACTAGTAGCAGACTGCAGTGAAAGACTCTGCGAAAAACGGTTCCAGCACCTACTGTACTTGGGGAAAAATTTGGGTTAGAAATTTGAGGCGTAGAGTGGCCGGCTTCTGACTACCTGTCACTCCTCAGACGATGCCGCGTCCCCATTCAAGCTTGTATGAGCAGAGAAAGTCATGGCTAGGCAGCAGCGATGAGCGGCCGCCGGAGCAAGCGCTTCTCAGTTGAAATGATGTGATCCGCGCATGATACGTGCATCACGAGTATCTTTCTAGCCCCTCTTTGAGAAATCGACTGTCTCAGCACACGTCGGATGCGGCCAGGCCGTGATGCATTGCCAATAGTGATGAAGCAAGTGAGAATAGCGTCGTAGTCTGAAGTGCATCTATCACATTCGTATGCTGTGCCGCACTTTGCGCTTTGTGTGAGGCGGTCATGCTTGTGGGGCCTAAACGCTTCCTGGATGTAGTCAAAGGCTGCCATCGAAAGCCAGGAGCTGCGATTGCCTCAGAAGGAAGGTCCTTGAGGTCTTTTGGGTTGTTTGGCTCAGGGTTTCCACTGCATTGTGTCAACCAACAATGCCACAGGGATTAAAGTGAAGATCTCACCGTGTCCGCCAGCACAGTGCAGGTACATGAACAGGGGTAGGAGGGGGGGGGGGGGGGGCGGGGGCGGAAGAGTCAACCCACGATATTTGGATAGCGGGCGCGAGTTGTTGGAAAGAATGCAAAAGTGCGGCGGTGTTTCGCGCCAAAGAGCCTAAGCCCAACTAGCCTATGCATCCATGTACTTGATGTGACTTAGATGAGCATTCGCATGCCTGATTACCCACTTCTTGAGGAGTTCTCACGTCAGTTGTCCGTTGTTGGTAGCCAATAGTTTCGACCTCGCCGCGAGTACCAACTTCGGAGGACACCACATCCTTCGACACAGCCCGCAAGCCTTACCAGCTTTCTGAAGTTAGTACACTGAACTTTGATACGCTTGTTCGTGCTTGCGCTACAAGTTGAAGTGGCCTTTCCTCAAGAGTCCCTCATCACTTATGCGATTCTCGGGCTGCCAACCGACTCCATAGCTCAAACCCCCAAGTCAGACCGGCATGACTATCTACGAAGAAGACGACTCATCAAACAGCTTCGATGGCGAAGCTGAGTATACCCAACAGCAAGACGATGGCGAGGAAAACGGTCTGCTCCCCTCCAACGGTAGACACGGCTCGACCAAGAGGCCTACGAATTCGTGGTTCTCCAGCAGGTTGCAGATCGGTCTCATCGCACTGAACAGCTTCTTCCTGATCTTAAATATAGTAGCCTGGAGTGCTTTGGGTATGGCTTCAAATTCGCAGGATACAAAGCTATTATCTTGTTTGGTAGACTCCCAGGTTCTTCCGCCGAGTAAGTTCCGATCCCAGCTTTCCATCGGTTCAGGCGTTGGGTCTTCGACTCCAGCATCTTATCCGCTTGATATATCTGCACGGAATCGTAAATGAACATCTTGTAGGCCCGGCAACAGAGGCAGTTCAGTATGAGCTTCGTCGGTTCACGGGGGTAGGAGCTCATGAATCTGAGTTCGTCGGCCCAGCAAGTGACAAGATGGACAGTAAATGGGACCACCTAATTGACAGTAAGGATTCCCACGACAAGCCTCAGCGGATGTAAGCGAGCTAACGGCCTTTGACTGTCCCTCGAACACAGATGGCAAGTGGTTTGCTATTGCCCGCGACATGTTCGTCAAGGTCAATGGAAATCTTGATACGGGACTACGAATCCCAGATGACCCCGAGGGCCGCTTTTTCGGCATGCTCCAAGTTAATCATCAACTTCACTGCGTAGACATTCTGCGCCGCTCAACATGGTTCAACATCAAGCGCTATAGAAACAGGGATCATTTCAGCAATATGACTGATGAAGATGTCATTATACATGCGAGTAAGCAGCACCATATCCACAGCACCATATCCTTACGAGATGAGTTCGAGCCTCATGGCTCACGGAGTCAAACTCCCACTAACATATCATACTGCGTTGTAGACCATTGCGTAGAGATTTTGAGGCAAAGCCTTCAATGCCATGGGGACACTGCCATGCTCACATTCAACTGGGTTCACGGTCATGACTGGCCACAATCGGCGTGGAGGTCGCTGCACAGCTGCCAGAACTGGGACGCTCTGAACGAGTGGAGGGCGGAGAATGACATCAGCCATCTCGTCACGCACCTAGAACGGCCTTCTTGGGTATTGGATCCGAATGCCGAAGCACCTGGGCACAGAGGTGCTGCTGAAGCTGTTGATCCAATCGTTTGCAGAGACTTGGAGTGCGATCCCTGATATCAACTTTCTGTTCCCTCGTATGAGGTCCTGTAAACTTGCAGGTCTATGCCAAGTATATGTGCAATGGTGCAAATAGCTCAGCAAAAAGCCACATTAGGTTTCAGTAAGAATGGTAGTGGTAATACATGTTTTTGAACTTGGCCCATGGTACAGTGCACAATGAACTCCGAACCAATGTGCCTCTTTGCCTCAGTCTGAAAGGTATTGAGCATATCAACGGTATGGGATGTCCAAGCGGCTTACTGACCGGTCGAGAGAATACTTAGTATCCTTGCTCCAGTGCAAACCGGTTATCAATAGATTGTTGTAGTATGAAAGGTAGCCATAACTTCATCGTAGAAAAACTGTTACAATTCTGAAACAGGTTTGCATCCATTACTCGCCTTCCACGATCTAATTTCGAGTACTGACTAGTAGACATTGCAAGACCAGGTCGTGCTTTGACCTCCCTCGTCTACTAGGTATATCATGGAGGAGTAGCTAGAACTTTGACGCCGTGGGGCTTCTTCGGAATCATCTCTGTTCCCGGCGGAGCCTGGTGACTGAGAGTCCACTCTAGTATGCCATCAAAATCTTTACAGATCTTGTTCGTGTTGAAGTCCGGCCAAGGATGGTTGGCGTCAGCTACCCAATGCGACGCGACTAAGCCAACGTCGGCATGACACATGACGAACTGTCGGAGAATCTCTATGCAGTGGTCTATGAATTGTGTTCTCAGTTAACTTTTGCCCATGAATGCGTTTGGGGAAGACATTGCAATCATTCCAATGCTCACCTATATGGGTTTGAATCATTTGCTCATCGTTGCCTCGGAAGTCGAACCCAGTCTCACGATAGTAGTCAATATTGTAGTATATGGCTTTCCGTAGCAGGCTCTGCTCTCTAGAATTAGTTTCACCTTTAGTGGCCTCACTAGGTACTTCCCTGTTCTGTCGTGGTGATCGTGAAAATCAAACAGATGTGCGTTACCTACCACACAGTGCAGCTGATGGGAAAATTCAGGCTGCACGAAAAAGCCGGAGTCCGGATGGGTCTGGCTTCGTACAGCTGTCTGAAGAGATTCACCGAACTTATTGTATTCTTCATTGCTGACAGGAATATCCAAAGGTCGGACTTCCATTTGTAAGTTCTGCCCTGATTGTGAACCACCTGGAGCACTTACATATACTGATGCGATCCCAATTTTCATCCAGCTCTTGACTGGGACGTCCTCGAAACTTGGATGGATATTCAAGAGACCCATTAGTCCTAGCCTGAACAAATCGATGAGGAATATGTTCCATAAGAGGAGCTGACGATTCAGGCAAAGGTCAGAGCCTAAACCGATAACTGTTGCAATTATAGGGGAATCGCCGCACTTACAGAAAGCCGAGGTTTCAACAAAGCAGTCGTCTTCTCTCAAGTTGCCATCCCGGAAAGCCAATATGCCCAGGAGAATCACTGAAAGTAGCCAGCCGGAGGCACCAATCGCGACCTGTAGAGCAATTCTTGCCTGACGGATGTACCGGTTGGCATGGGCCTTGGAGACTAGGTGCTCGTCGTCACCGTCTGAAGATGCCAATCCAGTATAGGAAGACTTTGAGAACCACATTGTAAAATTCTTGATTGTCCGAGAAAACCCCAATTCAAGACGCAATGGACTCTTCAGCATCTATCTTGCCTGCTCAGTTGAAAATGAGCAGGTTGCTCTGCCAAGGACCAAGGCAGCACAGGTATTGAGAAGGAGCAGGGGGTGCCAGTCGTTGCACATGCGGGCCTGAATGAAAAGATCTTTGGTCCTATGCACCTCCGCCCCGGCGCTAGGATAAGAACTTTGGTAAGAACGAGTAGCTAAGTAGAGTCCATTGTGCATCACCCGCTCGCGCCAGAATCCTTGTCAGAAAGGTCATGCATATGCAGTTCCGCCCCTCAGCGCTCAGTGCTGCACTGTTGCGGATACACTAGCGTGTGGTGCTGTCTGAACTACCCTAGGCGGGCGTCTATTGATTGATGGACACCTTATAGAAAGCCTCCTTGTCTAATACTGCCTGAATCGCAGCGGGGAACCCGGACCGTTCCGCAATTTTGGTACATATACTGGCCAGTGACAAGGGTGTGGGTGTGAGCCTCAATCCACCATGTTGAATCTTCTACGTCAAACATTCGGTTGCAATTTGGTACTTCAGAAATAAGTTCTTTAAGTTTGGAATGCTTGTATTGGGTGATCCAAATCGCGACATGTTCTGTTGCCGTTGAGACATGCCTCAGTACATACGTGGAGCAAAGCGAGCAAAGCCATCTACAAGCTAATTATCACTACCCCACTCAGACAGCCTTATCATCCTCCTCAGTCTGCTTGTTGTAACTGCTCCAGACGTAGGCCTTCTCAAGGAAGTGTCCAGCATCAACATTGTCTGGGTTGGCATCGCGTTTCTCAACAGTGCTCTCCACCTTCGCCGGCTCCTTGTTGTAGCTACTCCAGACGTAGGCCTTCTCCAAGAAGTGACCAGCGTCCACATTATCGGGGCTGGGTTCTCGCTTCTCGGCAATGCTTTCTTCCTTAGAAGGCTCCTTGTTATAGCTACTCCACACGTATGCCTTCTCAAGGAAGTGCCCAGCGTCAACATTGTCCGGGTTGGCCTCAGGAGTCGGAGCCGAGAAGGCAACAGACGACAGGAGGGTGGCCAGGAGAAAAGTGTAGGTAGTCTTCATTTTGAGAGGAATTCGGTTGCTAGCGACTGTTAGATGGCAAAATTTTGTACTCTGACTGTCAGAATGGTAGCAAAACTTACCCTTGAGCGTTCTTCTGGTTTTGGAGAAATAGGATGGGCAGCTATGAATGGGCACTGCGTGTTGATGGGTTGATGATCGTAAGATCTTGTCCCTAAAAGATGAGAAGTCGCCAACTATTATAGACCACGCAACAGGATCTGAATTTGAGGAGTCGACATATCACTGAGCATGAAGTTTTCATGCCCAGGCTTTACATGCTTAGCCGAGAAAGCCCATGATTTGGCCAGGAACAGTACCAACCAACAAGTGAGACCGCTTTTCCGTAGTAACAAGCTGACACCTTTTTATTACGTTGTGATTGGCTCAACACGCCTGTGCCACATCGATGATGACTCCCACTGCGAGTGTATTGTCAAATGGGTACTGTACTTCAATCCTTTTCGTTTACGAGGAAAGCTGAGATTCGATGCTTCCTGCGCTTCAGTACGCCGAAGCATGAACAAGGTAGCGCGAACCTGCATTATCTGGGTTTCATTCACCAAAGTTCCCATGGGTTTCCAGAAAAGGACCCACCAGGGGAGTAACCTCGACGATGTCTCGGACCGTCCTTCAGATGCTGACGACTGATCTTCGTTGGTTGTTGCAAGCCTAGCGTCGTTTTTTGCTTACAGCCAAGCCTTGTTGGACGCCGGTGAGTACGATCTTGGCAAATCCCCTTCATGGACGTCTTGCCAGCTCAAGTCGTGGAGGACCACTTGGTACTAGCATGAACCGGGTATTATGCATATGGTATCTCGTGCAGAGTTCTCGACTCATGAGTTTGGGTTCAGGCAGTTTCTCATGGAACAACAGACAGGACAAGGATGAAATCACTTCCCCTCACTTTATATCCGCATTCACCCGTCTAGCACGCCTTACATCTTGTGTTGTAAACTTTAGATCTTCCCCATTCCACCAATAGCCTCACCCTTACCGGTGAGTGAGGCTGTTTGGCAATCACAGTCTCGGGCTTCGGACTAGGCGACGCTTAGATGCAGGTTCTAGCAATACGGGAAACTCGAATGCAGTGAGCATTTTGCCTCTTAGGATCTTTTCTCTGCCGCCATGAGGTGTTGATTGATTCAGGTGGGTTAGATGTGAAGTCCAGGACAAGAACTAAAGAGTCTCGCAAATCCGAGCTCGAGTGCTACAGGCTTCTGAGGTCTTGATCGTTGACTGCTTATACACGAATGTACAGCTGAGAATCATCTAATTGCGGGTATTCTCATGATAACTTCTTTAGCCCTTAGACCGCCAGTTCTGAAGCTGGGATCGCTGCCAATGCTGTAAATTTTCCCAATTAATGCATTGTTTCGTGATGCCCCAGCCCAGCGGCTTCCCCCAAGCATCGCTGACCTCAGAAACTGGAGATCCAGGGGGGCTATTTGCTTCAACGACAAGCGAGTCGCCACACATAATAGTCAACCTGAGGTATTCCATACAATGCTCAACGTGATAAGCAGCTTGCTTCTTCCCATCACTCGATAACCAGTCCGAGTCCTCGATCCTGTGGTAATGGGCCATTCTAACTATGTTCTTTGCACAAAAGGCGCTGTAAGCGAGACCAAGATTCAACCTTTTCAAGATGATAAACGGAGCGTACCAGGCAGTGCAATTGATGTTGATTGCTGATATGGTAGAAACGCTTCGTTGCGTTTCCACTCTCCTCTCCATTGAATGGCGGTTGGAAACCCTCGGCCAGGCCGTAATCACCCGCATTTGGTATCCAAACGCCATCACCAGTGCCTATGACGATTTATTCTTGGTTAGTATCATCATTTGGATGCTTTTGAACACTTACCTTCAAGTATCGTGAGCCAATTCTGATTGACCGCGTCGTTCCATCCGACAAAACGCTCATCGGGAGTCATCACCGTCGGAAGGGTTGGAGTGAAGACACTTGCAGGAATAGGTGTCGACATGGTCCGATTGCTCGCCGGGCAGGTGTTGCTGACAACCAATTTTCGGACCGAAGCTCCAATGATCACTCCGAGCAGTAATACTGCTAGATGAGAGAGTACCAAAGTATAAGATTGCGATCTCTTCCGAAGCCCCAGAGTTCCGGTATGGTACTCCTGACTCGACCGATTGACACGGCAATAATTAGCCGGGGCTGTCATTATGGATCGTGTGTTGCAAGAAAAGAATAGTGAATAGTCGAGGGTGAAGAAACTAGATGTTCCTCAAGATGACCACAGTTCAGTCAAACATGATGCGAGGCCCCCTCTAAGAGACAAATAGCATCTCAAAAGCCCTTGCTGCCTTGGGGAGTAGCTTGCCTCCTTGGCAGCACGGGTGTGCGCCACCATTGCCGCCTGGGCCGACAAGCATTTACCAACATAGAGCCAAGGGGTCAAGTCACATCAAGCCCATCAATAACCAAGGCCGGGAATCCAAGTTTTCCAAAGAACATTGGTAGACATGGATTTGATGCGTCGACCATAGCCGTCTTCTAAGACAAGGCAGTCGTACCATTCTTGCGGCAGTCTTGTACACCTTGGGGGGCGCATGTTGCAACAGACGTGGAGATGTCTGCACTGGCTAATGTCTAGGCCCTGTAGGCGCCAAGCCAAGTTGTTAACACTGTGTAATATACACACACACGAATTTCTTCTCCACTATACTAGGCATCCGGGGTACCAACTCAACTGGGTCACGATATTGTCCTGCATCAGACCATTTGGACCAGAACTTCGGTATTCTTGACTTAACTTACTATTGGCTGATCTACGAGTTCCGCAATGCACTTGATGGATTGCTCATAGCTGCATTAGATGCCATTTTCGTCTGCACATTGAGTCGTCCTTCGCGACTGACTTGCTCCCGGTCGAAGAGCGTTCAACGGAGCATGGAACGCATCCTCTGATTCTCCCTTTGTTGCAATCCGCCTCTTTCTTCCCTTCTCTCTATCCCTTTCCTCGGCACCTTCCTCGAAACAAATCATGGCTCACAAGACAACTTATGATACAGAGCGCAATAACTCAGGCTCTGAATTGGAGTCTTTTCTAGATTCAGAGCCATGTTCAGATAAATGGTCTACAAGATCCAGGCATTGGTTATGGGATGTTGGTCTCCTACTGATTGCTTCGGGTTGGCTGATTCCCGTCTTCACGCCGTTACCACAATCCTCGTCCGCGTCCTCTCCAGCCGAGGGTTTAGTATGGGAGAGGCCTCGCAACACCCCGCTTCCTCCTCAGGTCTTCGAGCGTGTCAAAAAGACGTTTGCGCCAGACGAAAGGTATATCGGACCCTCAAACACAACTCATCATAACTGGGATCATTTGGTTGCCGCTCATGACGCCCTATACATCCCCGACGCCGAGAAGTTCGACTTGCCTAAGGGCATTTTCCCTCCTTTTGACCATCCGAACAAAAGCGGGCAGGGCCCTCCCGCGTTTTATGTCGTGACCGTTTTGCACGAGCTGCATTGCCTGGTACGCAAAACTCCCCACACTGACTGTGGAAATTCTCATGAGGCGTTTTCGGCCGAAAACTCATGTAGACGGCAATAGATTAAACCCATACTTACATTACTTAGAACATAATCCGCTTCCACTACTGGCAAGTGAAGGGCGTCACCCCCGCAACTCCTGGGTACTCGGAAGCGTCTTGGGAGGTCCACTTGGATCACTGCTTCGAGTATCTGCGACAAGCTATTTCCTGCGGTTCTTCATTCGCGATTGAAGGCGCATCTCCACTAGAAGACCCAAACGATCCTGGTCATCTGGCATCTACTGTGACAGGCTGGGGTATAGAGCATAATTGCATCAACTTTGAGGCTCTTCGTGCCTTTCAGATTAACCAAGAGAAAGTTTATAATGCCACGTGGGAGTAATACCTGAATGCGCTCAGGTCCACCCGTAGATAATATGAGAATAAACTTACACCTGGGGAAAAATCTTTGAAAACCAGTGCACTAAAGACAAGGAATCTAACGTGCTCATCGCTGTGTCTTGGCCTCCGGAAATAACATGAATCATTCCCGAGGAGAACGATCAGAACCCTAAAGTATGCAGAGATAAATAACGTCAGCAACGATTATCAGTCACATCCAAACCCATTTTCATGCGCTATGTAATTCGAGCCAAACACTTGTTGTTGAATCGTCGACCGGAGTGGTTGATCAATCGAGTTTTAAAAAGCAAATGAGTGTTGTCGGCCCCGCTGGCTTCCTGTCGTACTACCTACAGCCGGCGGGGCTCGTCCCGCGCACGTTGGCGCTTGATTGACTTCTGTGGGGTCTTTGTAACCACTTGCGCCACTGCATGAGTATAAGCACATTCCAGTCCAGGATTAGTACAATGTTCGTTGGATGTCGGGGTCAAGCAAACAGGCAAGGGTGCTGGAGCTGTTGAACCGCCCGATGTACCCCCATCATACAGATATAAAGCAGTGCTGGGTCTCCCAGCCGGCTGTTTGTCCATCACCGCCGTGTTGACGACCAACTTAAATCAATGCCGGAGGCAAACTAGGCCTCACCGATTATCTCATCGCAGCAACGAATCGTCTATCCAGCTGTCAAATTTGAATCCCCCAATTTGATCCCAGTATGGCGCTGCAGGACTCATCACGACATGGTTCCGTGCTTGAAATCGGAACTCCAAGGCTGATTATCCGCACAGCTGTCCAGTCAGATGCGGAGAATTTGCTTAATTTTCTCCAGACGCCCAAGAACTTTCCCTTCCAAGAGTCGGAACACACCCTGACTATAGAGAGAATTCGCACCCGCATTGACAAATTTGTCGACTTTACGATGAATGGAAAGAACGGCTGGATTGTTGTCATTCTGCGTGAGACCAATGAGTTGATCGGCAATGGTGGTTACAACACGTTCGAGACCGTCGACCCAGCTGAATTTCTCGCCGGCAAGACCACGCTTCCATCGGGAGATAGGCGGATGACGGACCTCGGCATCAACATCGACTCCCAACATTGGCGTAAGGGCTATGGTCTTGAGACACTCGAGGCATTGATTGAGCATGCTCGAATCGAGTTGGGCTGTGAGGTGTTCAGGATTGAAACGGGTGACGACAACCAGCCGTGGAGGTCGCTCATGCGTGCCGCCGGCCTCGGCCAATTCGAGTCGCGCCATAAAGCCAGCTACGATGCCAATCAGGAGGTTTGGGCATGGAAATTCGACGCGGGTCACTGGGAAGAGTCGAAGGCGAGGCTCGAGGAAAATGAGAAGTGGCTGATCTAAATGCACAGACTAGAGAGGCTGTAGATATAGGCGAGGTGCGTATGTAATTAAATGGTTGAAGGTATAGAGGGCTTTTGGGTTGCTCAACGCTTTCGAACCATTGTCCTCATACACCAAGATTATTCAATTTCGTTTGATGACCGGGAAAAATGAGAAACTGAACTATGTTTAGAGTTTGTAATGCAATACGACAGTGAAATTGAATTCGATAGCTGAAGCAATAAGACTGCGGTTTGAAGTAGAGTGAATAAATTCTTTGTGATTTTATTTATATCTCTCTGTGACCGTATGCATGCTCCATTCTTCTCAAATCAAGAGCAGACAGAAGCTCTCGGGCCAGCATTGGCCTTGACATAGGCAGGAACATCCGCTGTAACAGTCAATGTGTAAGAATAGAGACTCTTGGGGTCAAAGGAGGTTCCCGAGTTTGCAGCCGTAGTGCCAGTGCAGCTCTTATAGGTGTTACCAGAGGCATTGAGTACGGCGCCCGAGTCCTTGGTCAAGGGGTTCTTGGTATTCTCAAAGAAGACATTCTCAACACGTGCGTTGGTGCTGCCGCGAGCGTAGTGCCCGTATGAAGTGACGCCGTAGAGATAGTTGTTGTAGAGATGCACTTGTGCCAAGTTGTCGGCGCTCGGGTTTCTCTGATTCGTGTTGTCAAACCAGTTGTGGTTGATGGTTCCACGAGCTGTGACATTCTCGGTCCAGCCAATACCGAAAGTCTTGTCGTGGTTACGGAAGATGTTGTTGGAGACGGTGAAGTAGGTGGTGTCCTTCCGAAGATCAACTAAGCCGTCACCGCCATCTTCGAAAAGGCAGTGGTCGATCCAGATATTGCTCACGGTGTCGGCTTGAACACCGTCACGGTCGTTTTCCACGCCATCGTTAAGGTTGGTGTGACCTATCTTGAGGTTGCGAATGATGATGTTCCTGACCCCGTTCAAGCCCAAACCACCTTTTGGAGCCGCCTTAGTATATAACGTGTTAAATGGAAGGACATGTTGAGGGTTTACCTTGATAAAGCTCGCCAGTGGTGCCCAATCCGATGACGGTCTTATCACTGGCAATCTTGATTTCCTTGCCGAGAGGGCTGATGGTGATACGACCGCTGATCTTAATCACGTATTTGCCTGATGCGCTGGCATACTTCTCGAGATCAGCTTGAGTAGTTACTGTCACTTCTGTTCCGCCTGCGCCGCCAGTTGTGCCCCCGTTCAGAGAAGCAAATCCAGTAGCAGAAGCGAGACAGCCACTGGATTGTCTCTCAGTGACAGCACCCCGAGCAGCGACAAAGCATTGGATAAGCACCACTATGGATGAGAGTTTCATGATTTTGTTTCAGCTCCACGAAAAGATGAAGAAATACTGCTGTGTAAAGAAGTAGCTTTGATATGCCAGGAATCGATTGAGACATGCACTGGTCTGAATTTAGATTCAAATCGGAACATGTATCCAGCTTATATTGACAAGCTAGATGTCTACCGTTCCAAGGCACGGAAAGCGGTTTCTTGATCACGTGGGCATCAACTCCAGGTATCTTCCGGAAGATCATTCAGCTCATCTGTCACTAAAAACGCCTACAACATATCAGATCAGGATCTACGGAGTCTTTTACTTTAGCCCGAAACTCGGTCTTGGACGTAAAAGCATTTCCACATTAAAGGCACAAGTCACAGACATAGCGGGGTACGAGGAAATGCGACGTCGTGGTTCATGGAAATAACCTTCTTCGATAATGCCATATGGTGATCATCCTAATCCATGGATGGTCGTTTGGGGATTTGCCAAGGGTTATCAATTTGAGGGGTGTTTAGTGTCACATTGTGCCAAGTAATCCAATATCAGTGATTAAACCCACCAGTAACACGAAGCTACTTCCCCGCATCGCTAAGTGGTATCATCGCATATGCGAAGTCCCGCCAATAAATGCTCCCCCAATTACCAAAGACTCTGATGCGCTTTTGAATGGCCATCGTCATGCCTGATTTGAACGATTGATTTTGGCGCCCAATGAATGGCTTTCAACGAAGTTATCGTGAGCATTCGTGGATCCAGTCTCTTGATTGGTTTGATCAGGCATGTCAGTCTGGTCACTAAAGACTCGCATCGCGCTTCGCGTGCGACCTTTGGGAAGTGACGATGATCCAGGCTGGAGGTATCAGTGGTATCATTATCCATGTTAATGCTGATGCTGAATGCTCGTAGCCCTCCATCTGAGCAGTCTCTATGCTCTGTTTACTCTCTATGATCTATCTGTGGTATCATACGTGCTAGTGTCAACTTCTAACTTAGTAATCGGCCGTTATTCGGTGCACTTTCGACAGAAATATGCTGTTCATTTACCCACCAGGTCATCTGATGAATCCTGTCATCAAGACCTCTCGGTTTTCTCCGTCCTCCGCGCAAATCTGATCCCCGAAACACATGCAAATCCCGCTAACGCCATTGCTCCGGCATAATATGCGGCAGGGCGAAACTTCTCAAGACCATCAACATCACCAGAGATGGAGTAAAGTCCTGAAGCAATGGGAGTACCCTAACTTGATAAGCAAAAGTTTAAGTAGTGCACGGCATATTATGACTTACAAAAAAGAAACCGCAGAACCAAGTCGTCCAGACGACGGGGATGATGCTGAGGGTGTTTTCTCCTCCAAATGTGGCGCTAACTGCGATAGGCGTGAGACTGAAGAACGCACCACATCCGATACCGTTGAATATGAGGTAGACGGAAAAGATGCCGATTGATGATGAAAGAGGCCAGACGATGAGAGAGCTCAGAGCCATGAAGAGCATGCAGATTGCCAGACTTTCGACTGGTCCCAAAAGAGTATCGGCAACCCATCCAGCTACAACACGGCCCAAGGTAGAAGCTAAGTTCCAGCAGGCAAGAATAATGATACCGATTTCCTTGGTGTAGCCCATTGACCTCGAGAAAATCGGAATGAAGTAGGGCGGGATGAAGAGCGGGAAGCAGGAAAGTACAGTGCCGCCGACGAGCAGGAGGAAGCGAGGTTCCTTAAAGCGATACCTGACACATGTCAGCCATGTTCAAGTTGTCGCTGTTTCCATCTACTTACCACTGTAGCTGACGGGAGGCTTTCTTTCCCGAAGCCATCCTCCTTGGCAAGAAGTAGGATGCAGGGATAGAAACACCCCACAGAATGAAACCCAGAATGCGGAACGTCCAAGAGACGCCCAGGTCTTTGACAAGGTAGTTGGCTACAACACTCATGATGGCAGAGCCCAAGCTGCCCCCACCGAAGACAAACCCCATGGCCAATGCTTTATGCTTCTTGAAGAGACCCATCGGGGCAGTCGAGACAGACTGGTAAGGAATGATATTAGCTGTTATGGTTTGCGCCAGTAGGACATTTGCAGACCCAGCAGGAGTCTTGTTGCACTCACAAAGACACAAAGGCCACCACCAAGGCCGAAGACGAGACCATGTAGAAAGAACAAAGCCACAACATGGTATGTAGTAAAGCTTGCGAGAACTTCACCCAAACCCATGAAGAAACCACCAATCAACGCAGCCAGCCGATATCCTATCCTGCTGATGATCTTGTCGGAAACAATACTGAAACAAATCATGAAAGATGTCGCCATTGATCCGACAAATGTCAAGGTTGTTAGACTAGAACCCGTCGTCTCGACGAGCTTGACTTGCATGATGCCCCATGAGTAGATCACTCCGAGGTAGACAAACATGGTAAGTGACGATGCAGCAACCGTGACCCAAGCTTTCCGGTCATCGTAAGTCTGCTGCTCCACTTTGGGAGTTGAACTTGCGGCTTGGTCGTCACTCGAGTGGTCGGTATCGTGCCCATCTTGTCTTTGGACGACTTGTCGCTCGGGGTAGGTGCCTTTTTCGTTGTCCATCTTGGCGAAACTCAAATGGATTCGGCAGAAGCTGTCAGAAGCATACTCTCTTCGAACTGAAAGTTTCAGCCTCCTCCCTGAGAGGCTTCGAGCTTATCATATTCTCGAGTCTGAGTGAGAAAATCGAATGTTATAAGTCGGCTTTCGGCTATCGGGTTTACGTCAGAACCGAAATCAGAATTTCTCACGCGATAATGCGGTTATCATCGTCTGCAGATTTTATGGAGATGTCCAAAGTGGATTCTCTATTGTAATTCCTCCGATGATTTTGACGCGGGCCCACCGTTGGAAGGGCCGGTTGGGCTCCGTGAACACGGAGCCGCTGGCTTGTCGATCCCGATGATTCTCGGATTTCAGCACTAGCGCCGAACAACGAAGGTCTATTTAGGAGAGTTAAAGTGCCGGTTGTCTCTTTTCTCCCACTTTGTTTCGGGGAACAGAAACCACATAGAGAACTTACACATTCATCTCACCTCAAGTTATTATTCTACAGTCCACATCCCTCGCCATGGCTCCCGCAAGAGACGACGAGCTGTTCACAGCAGTCAACGCCGACCCCCCCACAGTCAAGAATACCAAGACCAAGGGTGGAGAAGGTCGTCTTATGCACCGATCTTTAATACAGCACCCCTCCATGGTCGAATCAGCAAGTGGTATCTACCTAAACCTCGCCAACGGCAAGAGAGTCATCGATGCATGCGGTGGTGCTGCTGTAGCCTTGATTGGCCATGCCAACGAGGAAGTCATTCAAGCTATCTCGGACCAAGCCCGAAAAGTGAGCTACGTCCACACGCAAGCCTATACGACACAGCCGGCTGAGGAACTTGCCGACCTTATCCTCGATGGCAATCCGCATGGTCTCGAGAAGGCCTTCTTCGTCTGCAGCGGAAGTGAAGCCGTCGAATCGGCGCTAAAATTGGCCCGTCAGTACCATTTCGAAAATGGTCAGCCGCAGAGGAAGCACTTTATTGGCAGAAAACAAGCGTACCACGGCAATACTATGGCGACCATGTCGATTTCAACAGTCGCATCGAGAAAGGTCCCATACGAGGGCTTCTCCTACCCCCACGTCTCATATGTTTCACCAGCATATCCGTACCAATACCAGAGAGCAGATGAGACCGAGGATGAATTTACGGCTAGGCTACTTGCCGAGATCGAGGACGAGTTCCAAAGGATTGGCCCAGACAATGTCATTGCCTTTGTTGCCGAGACTATGGTGGGCGCTACCGCAGGCTGCGTGGCACCCCCTGTCGGCTACATCGCTGGTGCTCGTCGAATTTGCGACAAGCATGGCGCTCTTCTCATTCTCGACGAAGTCATGTGCGGCACCGGACGCACTGGAACTTACTTCGCTTTTGAGCAAGAGGGCATTGTTCCCGATATCGTCACAGTCGCCAAGGGTCTTGGCGGAGGTTACGGCCCCATTGCCGGCGTTCTGATGCACGAGAAGGTCGTGTCCATGCTGAGACAGGGATCCAACGCCTTCAACCACGGACACACTTACCAAGCCCATCCCATTGCCTGCGCAGCCGCGTTGGCTGTTCAAAGGATCGTGAAGCGGGACGACCTCGTCGCTCGCTGCGCTCAGTTAGGGAAGCAGCTTGAAGTGCTACTGCGCATTGAGCTCATCAACTGCAAATCAGTCGGTGACATCAGGGGAAGAGGTTTGTTCTGGGCTGTCGAATTTGTCAAGGACAGGGAGACAAAGGATACCTTCGATCCCAAGCTGCGATTTGGATTACGAGTTCAAGAGCGGGCCTTTGAGAAGGGCGTCGCTCTCTACCCCGGCGCTGGCACGGTGGATGGCTCGAGAGGAGATCACGTCCTACTTGCTCCCCCGTTCACGACAACAGAGGAGGAGCTACGTAAGATTTGCAGTGTTTTCAGGGAAGCACTGGAGGAGATTGAAGCGGAAATTCTTTGAAAAGCGGCCATGACCAGGGACATGCTGATGCTGAGCGTGACGCATTTGCCAGGGCAGTTCGACTTCGGACTTTTGTACATAGTTAGTTCAATAATACCCATTCTTGAAAAGTACCCACCACTCAAAGCCTTTGTCCAATGCGGCTAGCCCATCGTGAACATCTCTGAAGCATCGACATCTTCCAGCATTGACCACCAATTCGGCCAAAGCCCTTGATCATCCATACTGCCAACAGCGTCTATCAACGCTTGTGGGTTTAACCCGCCGATATTCTGATTCGCCTTGTCGCCTGAGACATTGTTACCCTCGCCGGTGCTGACGGCGCCCCGCTCAGCGTTATTGATTTCCTCTAAATGTTGAGCAGATCTATCGACTACCCGAAATTCATGAACAGACTGATGTAAGACACTGAAGTCAAAGCGAGATCGTCCGCGATATTTCTGGGCGTCAGACGTGGCTCGTTGGTACATCAACGACCCGTTCTGGATGGTCTTGAGCTGTTACGCGTCAGTCATAAGTAAAATAGCGGTGTTCTACTGGGACTACGTCTCCAATGGCATCCATGACTCACCCATCCGTCCCCGAGGTCCCAGACTTCGCGAAACTTGTTGAGATACTCTATACTCCAATTCATGTACTCTTCCGCCCTGGTAGCATAGCCAACGCCAATTCTTGGGAACATGAATCCATATAGATTGATGTAGCAAGATGAGAACGCACAGAACCCAGCGAAGGGCGTCATGACTGCAACGCCACATTCTGAAGCTTCTCGAAGAACGCTGGACAGGTGGCCTGCTGCTTCGAATAGCTCTTTTGCGCTTTGTTCCCACCAGCCCAGGGGAGCCTCAGCTTCAAGAGTAGGGGGATCTATGGGTCCACGGGGAGTCATGTCAATAGTCGGTAGGAACGGAAAGTATTCTCGCTGAAGCATGACAACACTACGGAAATTTCGTGTTAGCCCAGGGAAGTCCCTGCACATGGGGGGAAGCTTCGGCAAACCTTTGGTAATAAAGTAGATTTAGATAGACGAAGGATTCACCATAGCCAAGTGTAGCGTATGCAGCAACGCTGTTGGCCGGATAGTGTAATCGATGGTGCTGCTTCGTTCTCCATTCCTCGAGTCTCCGACGCCAACATGCCACGGGTGATGTAGGAACCCAAGGGCAGTTCTCGGGTAAGCACATGCCTGGCGCTTTACGCCCGTCGTTGAACACAAAAGCCATGACATCAGAGTAGATGTCGAACCCATCAGCCATGACCCCAAAACTCTGGTCCAAATCAAGATACACCGAAGTTGCGGTTCCACTCGATGTGAAATTTTCCCCCGCACCTTCAGCTTGCGCTGACGATCCTGGTCCTAAAGCAAACTCGGTAGAAGTAGGTGGCCGCGGCACATTCAGCTTTGCCATCTCCTGTTTGGGAAGCACCCGTGGGTTGTATGTTCCCGAGCTCACCATGCAGTCCATAATGAAACATGCCCAGAATGTCCTTGTCTCGATTGCGGGAGTGAGGCTGTTTTGCTCGCTGCGTTGTGGAATCTCAAGTGGAAAGGGCGCTACTCGCGAACTATGAAGTAGTTGCATCATCCGAATTGCAATTCCTGTTTGATGTCAGACAGATTCGACGCAAGACTTTGGAAGTTGGCCTACCACAATGCATCCAGGCCTTGTGGAAATCTCGCGTGCCCCATTCATACAACGTAAGAATAAGGAGGGCCTGGATGACTTTGACATCTGGTGGCTGGAGTATGCATGCTGCTAGGACATCACATGCATATGATGCATATCTTTCGCTCGGAAAGAGGATCTGCGATCGCAGACGATCCGAATCCGGCTTCTGGGTCTTGGTCATTGCAAGAACTGTGGCCAACAACGCCTTACTTTCTCTAGGGCAATTGGACCCAAACGATTTCATGAAAGATGAGGGGTGAATAACGCGAAGCTCAGGGAACTTGCGCCAGAAGGCCTCGAGAGCGATGTAGACAACATCTTTGGGGATTTGCTCGAGATGGTGGTCCATTTCCTGCCTGCCATCTCGAAACTCCAATCCCGACGACGGCGTCGCCGGGCCCCGTGAATGGGGCGCAGAGAGAAGTTGTCGCTGAGACCCAATGTCCTGATCATGGGATACAGATGAAGCCTCTTCCGTTGCTCGCCGCGCCCGCTTAGCCGCCCGTCCATTCGGCGCGACGTGGGGTCTGGTCAGTACACAGTCCGATCTTCCCGACTTCTCGCATTTGGTACACGGCGGACTTCCGCTGTTGACGCACTTGATCTTGGACCGTCTGCGGGGTCATAAAAACTGGGTCAGCGGCCGTTGCATCGGATCCGATCGATCGCCGGAAGCGAGGCCGGAGACCAATGGGGGACATACCGGCAGAATTCGCAGGAGAGACTGGAGCGCATGTTTTCCGATGTTATTTGCTCAGTCGGTTTTGGTTCGAAAACCGAAAGAAACGGGAATGCAAGATTCGGATTACGGATACAATTTTTTGGACGGGCGCCGGGACCGGCTTTGTCATTGTGGATCTGCAACCGGTGGATCCTGACTGAAAGCTTGCTTCTAGTGTCCGGTCCTCTCCGAAGAGATGATAACTTTGCGCTACAACAATTCGAAGACCCCGATAACAGTCGACAAAAATGACCTGCTGTCGATATGAGTAATACTTCTCGCCATCGTTTAGTGTTTGAGTAGAACAAAAGCAGGACAAAGCTCCCTAGATCAGCTTGTTTGTATCTTGATTCTCACTGAGAGCCGTCGAGTTGAGCATGGATGACCCTTGCTCAAGGCCTACTTATCTCGGTGAGGCGATATTTAGATTGGACGCGATGTCCTATCTTGAACTATATATGGAGTCTGCGGAATAAGAATGAGATATCGCCAGCTCTGGGGACACCGCACTCAGTTCTCCTCAATTCAACTGGATCATCCGAGTTCTTTTGCCTGTAATATAGGACGAGGACTTTGAGCTACGCTATCTAAACTCGGTTTCCGTCGTCGTGGGCAAGCAAGGATATGCTGAGCCAACTCTTGAAATGATTTTTGTTGCACAAGTCCCCCTAGCATAGCTCGGAACCGCAGACACGTTCGCGATGACCGTCTTGGTAAAGTTGCCGCAGAACTTCTTACCTTTTCCTAAACGCCCGGGAGTGCTCGTAGCTCGCAGAGCCCGTAGGCGATGATCGGGAACACAGGTCTTTGGTTTGCAGGCTCCGCATTTCGTCATTTTGATAAGAAGCCACCGATTCGGGCTGGATTCAAAGAGATGAACCCAGACTTGAAAGAAGAAGCCCAGACGCAGAAGTTGGCCGAGGTGACTGGGGCAGATTGGGATGGAGCAGAGTCGCAAGGTGGTTTTGGCAAGAGGCTATATACGCCATGTAACCTCAACATTGAGTGCATATTACTATACCGTTTACTAGCTTTCGACAGGAGTGATGTCTGCCACCTAGAGCACAGGTACCATAGATGTTTCTGGGAAACATGTCACCCAACGTTAACAAAGTACTAAGTAAGCATGTCAGGTGTATTGAGATTCTGTTCGACGCGATCAAACCTCGAGAAACACAATTTGGATCTGCCGGCTGGCGCAAATCTGAGTACTGATGCGTAGGAAGGTCTTGAAAACTTTGTGTTCGGCCTGAATCGAATCGCCGAATAACTTATCGTTGGCATGCGATGGAATGAGTCATTGAAGTGCACCAGGGCGAACGAGATGTTCGCCGCATCGCCAGTCGTTTGATTGTTTTCTTTAGCGACAAGTAAGATACAGATAAATGGATTTGAGTGTACAATTCAGCTATGTACAGTGCAAGCTACTACGTTCCACGAGCCAGAAGCTTCCAAACCTCCCACCCCTTGCTTACGAGCCTGCAGCTTCGAACCAGCAATATACAGGTTGAACCAAGCCAACTTATACAGATCGTTTGGTCGTCATCATTATAGACGATCAACAGGCCGTGGTGAAGCTTGTGGCGACGCAGTAAGTGCCGTCAGGGCCACTGCCAATCTTCGTAGGCTCGGCACCGCTGTTATTTCCGGTGTACTACAGTCCAAAGTAAGTAAATCTTCCTTGTACATGCAAAGAGATGTCAGGCTTAGAGTCATCATACCCTATCACAAATCTTGTTGTCATCTTGGCAACAGCTAGTGACCTTGCAGGTATCGCCGTAGTTGGTGTTGATGCCGCAGAGGACTCCACCGTCCTTTGCAATCACGTTGTTCATGACAATGTTGCGTGCACCTCCATTACCGCTGCAGTTGCCACAGCTTCGGACGACCTTTCCGTAGCTGTTGACGTTTTAGCAGGTTGCATCACGGCAAAAGACGATGAGTTTGACTCACTCATTAGCGTAGAAGTTCTTAATCGAGACAGTTCCAAAGCCGTTGAATTGGACGATCTTGTCCGCGGCCTTGAAGGCACCACCGCCGTTGACGTAAGAGGTTCCGCTGGTCTGCTTCAAGGTCCTGGAGTGAAAGCTATCAACAAGAAATGAATGCACAACTGATATAGAAAGACTCACAGAGCATCCTCGCAAACGTCTTCCCACCAAACGTTGTTACTATACACTGTCAGTCTGCTGTTCTCCATGTCTTCTCTTCTGGTGGTTTCCATACAGTGTGCTATAATCGATCAGCATCGAAACTCCCTTCAAAATTGAGGAACGACAAACCAAGTTCCCTTGCAGTGAACACCCTCTGCCTGATCGGGCCCAATAATGACGTTCGAGAGGGTGGCACCGGCCTCAAGCACGAACATGGCATCAGCTTCACCTGTCTCATCTTGCTCAGCGCAAACCCTAGCTGCTCTGGAATCAGTATTTGATCATCCATCATTCTTTTACTCGTCTTGACAACGTACGGCTGCGGTCAAACTTCTTCATGCCGCCATCATAAGACTGTCCAGCAGAGACGGTGATGGCCTTGCTCGTAGAAGTAGCTCCAGTGGACTTGGGTAGAGTGGTAGTAACTCCGGTGGGCGTAGAGCCTCCTGCGGTAGTAGTAGTCTTCAGCGTTGTAGTCGGCGAGCTACCACCAGCACCACTGTAGGCGCAAGTACACTCAGCGGAGATTAGACTCGGCTTCTGCGAGCAGTTGGTAGCCCAGGCGGGTAGAGCGGTGGTGGCAGTTACGGTGCTCTTGGTGAAGGTGGCGCAGAAGGTCGACGCGGCGGCGTTGGACTTGATGTAGCTGGCACAGGCGTTTGTGTCGGTGTTTAGGCAGCCCAAGGCCGCAGGAAGGAGAGCAAGAAGGTAGTATTGGTGCATCTTGGCGTTGTCCGGGAGCAGGGCGTTAGGAAGTCTTGGCTCTGGAGATCAGGGGTGAAGCTTGATGATGTGATCTTGGTTCACTTAGGGATATAACGCTGTACTTATAGCTATCAAAGTCTTGATAAAGCAATGATTCGATAGTCAAAATTTCTCTTGTTGCTCCCAAGTATCGAACATACCACCCAACTAAGCATATCCTAGCCCATTCGCTATCTTCAGCCTCATATCTGATGTATGAAGGAAAATGTTTTCCCGCACAGGATTCCACCAGTAACGGACCATAAAAGTGTTTTCAGATGAATCAGTAAGTATTCTGGACTTGGTCTACCTGCAAATAACTTGCCTTCCCTTTTCCGAACACCCTTATATGGCATAAGGTAAGCTTAGCTCGACGCAGGGGGTTATCACCGGGACGCATCCGAGTCTACCCCACAAACCCGGAGATACTGCGCTAAGTCGAGATCCTACGCAGGCTATCGCTTGTACTTTTCGATCTGTGTGTGTGTGCGGTTTCCACGTGTACATCATTAAAGAACAGTTGCCCATTTGTGGAAAAAGGCACGATGATCGAAGGCAACCCTGAAAGTAGGTTCGCCTTCCGCATACATATGTAGTAGACACAGCATACCTACACATAGCATACCGTCTGGCATAAGTTTGCCCTTCCAGGGATAATAATCAAGGTCGCTTGAGGTATCTCAACTGACCGCGTCCGACGCTCACCAAAATTCGTATTTCACATGGGAAATAGGCACTAGAGGTCGCGATGGGCAATCCATAATTCTTGCCCATTCGCAACCAAAGTTGTGATTTTGCTGCGTATTTCCATTCCGCAGCTTCCTCATGGTCAGTTTCGGGCTGTGGGATGTTAGAAGGGTTGATCAGTCTGTGGATGGAATTTGTTTGTCGATGGCACATAAGCATAACAAAAGCCACCAATGATGACGCCAGACTCAACCAGGGTCCAAGCCACAGTCATCACAAAGCACCACAGACGCGGGGTCCAGCCTTCCGAAGCAGGTAAGACTGATTGTAGGGTTACATGTAACGGTGGGCTTGTTCTAATTGCGCGGTCTGATCTGTCCGCGTGGTCTTGATCTGCGGCCTGTCGAGGTAGGCGTAACTAAGTAGTGAATGGGTTTTGGGTCATGTTGTGATAAGACCCATTGCTATTTTAACTTGCCGTCTTGAACCCGATCTTGCTGCAATACTGAGAATTCCCGACAGCTCAAGTAATTGCTTTGAAAACCCGTGATATACACTTCTTAGTATCATGCAGATATTATCGAAAATGTTTTATCGCTCTTGGCTCGTCATCATATGGATCAATCACGGGTTGTGTGTGTTTTCCAATTGTTGGTTGATATCCTTCCATCCCGTCCCTTTGTTCGTTTTATAAATGCAAGACTTATCGGTTCTTGTTGTATTTCGGAATTATCAATTCCGTAGCTGGAAAGATTCTTGCCGCAGGTAGTTTTCATCGTCTCACATTCCTGTTTGATCGATAACATGCGACTCGCGTTCAACTCAGCTCTTTGGATGTCCAAGTCGCTCTATTATCCTACCCAGGACCCTATATTGTGATGAGTGACGGCCTTTTACTACGTCTTAATTTCTTGATGCTCGTCGATGAACGATAAAGGTCGATGAGCTTGCGAGGCAGTCCTGCTTTATGCACACTTACGCACCTGCTTCCATGTCCATATCCGAGGTACCTTACCCTGGATAAGGTACTTGTCCCAAAAGGTCGAAGGAATCGGGTGTAATCCACCGTCATTTCTCTAATTAGAGGTTCTGCTGTTAGTTTCCTTTGAAGTCGAAGTTCACGTACATATATTCTCACAAGGCAGGAATTGAGGCGGTATTGAGCCTACCTTTCGATACAGTCGGTTGAACTAGGTGTTTCGCCATACCGATTATGCACTGGCTGGCGTTTCAATGGGGTGACATGCCTACCCTCATTTCTTTGCGCATCAAAAGATCAATGATTAATTGCTAAATGTTCAAAACCTTTCCACCTATTCAACATTCATTGCTAAACAAATACGTTAATAGCACGTAGCAATCTACTCTGACAGTGATTGAACGCTGATTGCATATTGTCATAATATCTTCACTCCAACGCCCCCAACGTGACGGAAGCATTGCTTCTTTGAAGTACATATCGCTTAAACGCCTTGATCCCAGTCGTTTTGATAGTCGTGACTCATACCCCAAGGATACTATCCTCACTGCCTGACATACGTGATGTGCTTTGTAGTACCGTCTTTGAGTTTACCTGCCCACCCACTCGATCTAAGTTGTAGGGGTTTTCTGTCCTGTCTTTCGATTTTGAATTGTTCGAATGGAACCCTGATCTCTCATGACTATGATACTGATAACCACCTGGCTTGTTCCGATTTGCGGCTTCCCGTAGAGCACGAGGAGTAAACAGGGGTTTCAGTGCAGGAACACTGGCGCATATTATTCCGATATTGATCTCCGACATAGACCAGATGTTGATGAGGATGCTCTCCTGGAACAGATCCTTGGCGAGGGTATATGTGTAAATCGTGTGTAACCGGACGATGGATGTTATTGTTGCAAACACGCCAACGCCGAAAATGATGCCCAGCGCGATCTTTTCTCGCCGCGGCCGAAGAATGCCCATAAGTGTTTTGATGGGGAGGACGAGGATCCAAATGTCGGTTACGATGTTAAAACCGGATGTAACTGGCCACCGTTAGCAACTAGTCTGACAGGCATAGATGATCTGTGGATCATTGTCGATGGCTGATAACTCACAATAGAAAAAAGCGGTAGTGTTGATACACACTCCATTCACAGTCCCGGTCAAGTCCCACATTTCGTAGAGTGGTTGACACTGAGATAGAGTGACTCCAATACAGATGACGAAGAATAAAAGATGAAATACAATGGTACATATGCACAGAATGTTGAGCGACCTGGTGCCAGCTACCAGTAGAGTCAGCATATGACACGTTCACCATCATGTTATAGAAAGACCTACCAAACCTGAGATACATGCACAAGATAGATATCTTGATTGCTGATATGCAAACATAATACGTAACTTGAATTGCCAGTGTATTCTTCAGGAGATTTGTCATGTTGTCGAGGCTCAAATCCTTGGAGGGGAAGCCGATATGATTGGCCTTTCCGACAAAGATCTCTGCGAGGTAGGCGAGAGTGAATACCATTCCAATGATCATTGAATAATCATCGAGGCCAGGCTTTCGGATAAGAACTGCTCGAACAAATGTCCGGGCAATGACAACCATGGCTACACCGTTTATGTCAGTTCTCACGTTGTCCGAGTCGCTAACCAATCGACTTACTTGAAATTGCTGTGAAAAAACATGCTGTTATGATGAGGCTATTCTGCCTCACTTGGTCGGAGGCCATACTGCTATGCTCAAGTGGGACATGCCCCTACAAGATCCTTGTTCTCATCGAAGAGCGTTGTCTGTCTTGGCTGATATATAAAATCTTGTCTTCCTTCGTTATATGTGGATCCTCGATGGTGGGCTGGCAGCGGCACAAACTAGGGGATGGGGGCAGTATTTCCTTCATACATGTACAATAGGGCTAATAATTGAGAGCGAAGCCGAGTGGGATAGATTGGAAGGAGGAGGGCGAACTCTCTTTTCAAACCCCATCGAGAGGCATGAAGACCAGATGAGATGAGAAGTGGGACCTTTGAAGGGGCCCCAGGCGGCATGCGACGCTGGAGGGATGGACGGGGCCATGATGCACAAGCACAGACAACAAGCCGCGCTGCCGCATTCAGGGTGGGAAACGTGACGGATCGCTGGATAAATGACGGCATCTCAATCTCCTCACAATTTACGCGAGCTTCGACTGGTCTCCCTCGCGTGCGTATTGCGTGGAGACTAATGTCTATGCCAGGCTTGTCAGGCTTGTCAAGGTGCGTGCGATTCGATCCCGCCTTGATGCTGCACGCTCCAGCCGTAATGAACGGGCTGCGAGAGGCTGCAGGTCTAGCGTGCAGGCAGAGCTTTTGCGAGCTTTCGGAAGAGAAGGAAGAGGGCCGTTGCTGAAGCCTTTCCGGAATGGGGGGTTCTGCACCGAGACTAGCGTCCGGGGGACCTGCAGCAATTCACGGAGGTTTAACTAAGGCCGGGCATGGTCTGACAGGAAACGGCCCAATGGCGCTGGGGGATCGAGCTAGGCTACACGGTAACACGGTTGGTTCGCAGCTCTACACAGGTGGTGGCTGATTCCTGACCCCCTTCTTCGCTTGTTCCATTTCGTGTTCCAGACGGACGCCGAGGCAGTGCGGCTTGCTGGAGCGGGACAAAGGAGGGGACCGGGCAACGGCAATCTTCGCTGCGGCACCAGACGGCAGAGCGGGTGAAGGTGGTGTGCTGAGAGCGTTCATCTCGCCTTTGGCTGCGACCCGAGGCACAAGTTGTTTGATATGGTGGCCGGTGGTCGAACTTTCTCGGCTTTGGCAAACCATAAAACTAGACCCCATTGATAGTGGACTAACTTTTTGACGGCCTGATGATGCCTAGAGGAGATAGGCTCGAGAGAATCGGGGCGGTTTTGGATATTAGGCGAAAGAACGGCAAATCATGTATTCAAGCCACCATCACTCCAACTTGCATCTTCAAACACCACCCTTGCGGCTATCCAAATCCATGGATGTCTTCCGTTGCGGCTGGAGCGAAGGGTGCCTTGGCTTGGACTAGGTGCTTGGCTTCGAGTGATCTGATATGTTGCGTCTTAGGGTTCAGCGGCATCAGGGGTTTCCAAGGACAGGCATTTCGGTTACTTCGGGTTCCCAGTTCCCAGTGCCCATTGACTTGGGTTTCCCCTGGCTACAACAAGAGATGCTCGGTCTCGTTCGTGGCCAACAAGCAGACGATCGCAACGTCACTCAGGATATCCACCGTTATAGTGTATGAAAAGAAGCGGATTTTGCTCTAAACTAGTGCGAATGGACACCTCAATCTTGCGGGAGAACGAACCCCGAACGCGATTCGATATGGACAGCTAGGGTGGCATGTCACTACGGACCAGACAAGTCCTTTTGTATCGCTTGTTAGCACAAACGGTAAGAAATAATACTGGTTGATAAGCGGTTGCGCCGCTAAAAAAAAAAAAAAGTCGAGAGATCAGGCTGAACAGAATTTGAGACGTCTATGGCGAGTCGGTTAAGGTGTTGGAGAGCAACCAATTTTGGTTCCACATCGAGCAAGGACAGGCACTCTTCGCCTAGCCCCTCTTTCTGAAGCTCTCCCTGCAATTCCACGCGTAGTAGGCCCCTGATCCTTGAAGCTTCTTCTCAGGAGGCCAAAGCGTTTCATGTCGAAGGCGATGATGAGGAGTATGCTGGTGATGCGGCGGCATTGCATTGTACGAGCCTTCGTCCGTTCGATCGAAAACATAGCCGCGTACGAAAAACCTACGAAGATATATACGAAGAGACGTTCCAAGAGACGTGGAAATGCCTCGGCCATCTGATTTCCTAGGCTATCTGCAGGCCTTGGTCCATGTCGCTTCTGAGTTCCCATCGACAATCAGGTCCGTGTTGCGGGACGGATAGCATGCAGCGGGCCAGCGATCCCCAAGAAATTGCATGATCTGCGCAAGTCTTCGACTCCCCTGGTCTTTAGTAGAAATTCTCCCTCTACCCGTGCCTCCCAACATTCAACCTTGACTGCTCACGAGCCCAGTGGATTGTCATTACCTGGTGCTCCAAGCGCAGTGAAAAACCTGCCCGGCCTGCGATCCTCCTCATCACCGGACTCGCTGCAGCTCGGTTCCCGGAACGTCGATAGCTCAGACCCTGACCAGGCGTAGGGCGTCGGTAGCAATCGACACGATCAGTGACCTTCGCGTTGGCCAGTCATAACAGGCCATCAGCTAGCCACTTTTTCTCGTACGACCCAGCTCTACTGGCATGACGTCCAGTTACTCGAAAGCCCTTCTTTCCTCGCAGCTGGAGTTTCAACATCATGAGGAAGAAAGACAATGATCTAGCTAGGTCCACCACCTAAGACTCCACCTCCACCGTAGGTAGCGCAGCGCAGCAAAGCTTTGCTAGCTATCCTTGGCGGGCCCTTCCATGCCTGCGAAGAAGATTGAAACGATCGTGAACGCGAGTCATGAACGACACCTGTCACAGCCCTACAGACCCGCATTGAGTCCAACACCAAGACTAAATTATTTCTGCAGGTATTATCTGGTGCAGATAAGCACCTAAAACATCAGACGTGGACCCTCATCACGACGGCGACGCCAAGGTTTCTGCCCGTTGGAGGCGAAATCTCTAAGCTGTTGCATGGTGCACTTACTCTCTTTCAACAGCAATCGTGCCTCCATTCGACGTTGGCGTAGACGCATTGGGACCCTCCGCAGACTAGCTCCGGAGAGAGTTTCCTAACAATCAATGGTTTTTGCCAATCTGTGAAGAATGGAACGAACCAGCGATAGGGCCCTCATTGTTCGCAAGTCTCGGGAGCACATTTTCATGCACCTCCATCCCCATCTCACGACTATATTTCATCTTCCTCGCACCTAGACTAGCAGCATGTCATCTTCTCCGTTTACAGCTGCTTCCGAGAGGAATTGATTGTCATCTCCATTACCACGACTCTTACGTGTTAGAATTGGCCAATTTGCATGCGCAACAGCAGATTGCCCTGAATCAACGAGCGCTTGGTTTGATGATCTACAATGTCACTGACCGTTGAGGTCCATGTGATTACCAAGCCCATTCCAAGCACGGATCATCGTACACACAGCCACTCGAGTAGAAAATAAGGTATTCAAAGAGCTTTGATCAAACCTTGAATGGTAAGTGACCTCTAATCTGCGGCAGCTTCTACCGAGCCGCTTTCAAACGTGATACGAATGACTTGTGACAAGGTTTTCCCGAGCTCAATGAGCAGAGCCCAGCCCTCGGCAGGGCAGTTTCATAGGGCGATAATTTTCATAAGGCTAGGTAGAGGTGATGTAAAGCAGCTCTACGGGTACTTGTGAAACCTTGGTTAAGCGAAGGCTTCTAGCCAGCGAGCGATGATTTGTAGATGTCTGTAGTATAATTACAGGGCTGTAAAAGCGTCCAAGACCCTTCGTACGATTACATACTTACAACTTAGCTTCCCCGGACAGGGTTGTGAACTTGTTACCATATCACTAGCTGATTGCTAGCAATACAACCGTCTCTAGTCTTTCTCCAGTCATTTTCACTGCGATGCTATCCAGACGATTAGGAGGGAAAAGATTTGGATTATTACGCGATTTGTTTTTACCCTTTATAAAAGTACTCGTGTAAGTATTGACCCCTTCTAGCACTTGATGGAATATTTTGCTGTGTGGCATACCTTTAAACTACCTAAATACACCTTTTATACGATAAGCAGCCCCGGCCAAAGGAACCACCTCAGCAGAGGAGGCTTGTGCTCCTCAGCTTTCGTTAGCCTTGAAATCTTAACTCTGTCTTGGTAGAAAAAGTTCCAGATCCAAAACGTTGAACGGCCAGTGGCAGTTTGAAGAACTTGAAGATATCCAGCCAGAGCTTTCGTCACGTACCTACCAATCAGCTAACCACCAAAAAAGTCCGGATTGCTGTTCGAAGGTAACCACCCTAAGACTAATCCTCTTATCCCATGTTCATGAATTATCAGTTCCTTAAACTAGTTTGTTTGAATGAATTGAATGAAGGTACCTTATTCTTTCAACAACTGATTTCGGATTTAGCATCCGATGAGTCATTTCCGTGTGAGTCACCCACAATCTCCCGCCAAACTATATTAGTTTAAGCTAGCAATAGGTGGAAAGTCTTCCTGTTGTCTTCGGAACATTCGATGATGTTATGTCATTTTGGGACCTAATTCTGTTCGGTTACTATAACGCAATGGCAAAATGCTTGACATGTCGGAGAAGAAAGGTGCGCTGTGACGCAGGTCTTCCTACTTGCTCAGCGTGCACTCGTCTAGGATTGATATGCCAAAGGGTGATCTCTGAAAGGATGCTGACTTGGCCAGAACCTGATCAGCCCAGTGTGGGAAGTGATATCTCACCTTGGAACATAAGCTCGCTACAGGAGAACATTTCGGATCGAAACAGACAAAATTACTTCACAGGTGCGTAGACATGCCTGGCTCATAATCTACATAAGGTGAAATCGGATGTTTGTTTCTTCTCTGATCCAGACTCTACATGGTGCCAATGCGATTATTCAACATCAAGCCATCTCTACCAGCATATGTCATTATTGTCACCACGTGAGAAATTAGCTAATATTGATTAGTTGAGGAACTAATTGCCACATCCGAGCTCATTCAACAAACAAGAAATCGGATCGAAGTCGATATGATTTGCCATCAACTCGAAGTGATATCCAATGAAGAAAATCCCACGACGTCCTCTATTGGAGCCTTCTCTGTTATTGTTCCTAAGGATACTCAGTTAAATAATGGGGTTCAGACGCCCAAGGACTTCGATTTCAATATGAGTTCAGACGCCAGACTCCTCGATCATGGTGCGTCTTCCTATAAGGAGTAGTCATTAAGAGCCACGAGTTATCCCTCGCTAGTGGCTTCCTTGATTATCACCGGCTTACAGAGTCACAGTGGAAGAAGTTATAGTCACTGGCCAGGACATTGGCCACACTACGCTACAGTCAGATACAACCGAGCAGTTGAGCGAGTTACTTGTCTTGGACTCCGAAACCAATGATTCTCTCCAAGAGTTGCTTCCCGGCTCGGTCGTACCTTCACCTGGAGTCGCTGCAATAGTCAACGCCGGAGCCTTCCCTTTGGTACATGATTTCGACTTGATTCTGACAGGTCCAAAGACTTTTACCAGCTCCCTACCGGAAACGACGTTCTTCTTACTTGATCATTACAAATCAAACATGCTGGATTCTTTTACTCCAAAGCGCAACCGCTGTCCACCCTGGAAATTTCTGCACCTGCCCAGCGCCTTGCAGGCTGTATCAGAGATAAGCATCTGGGGCAGTACAGATCCCGTAAAAACATCTTTGCTGTATGGAATCTTATCGGTCTGTGCATACAACCTAGAGGCCTCCTCAATTACCAACGAGGAGGTCGCCGGTTTCTGGGGTCTTGCAGCCGCCGAGTTTTCTCAAACTGCTAGGGAGCAATTATCGCTCGGTAGATTGCCTTGTGCAGAAGACTTGTGGCCGAGCCAATTGAACGAGTTTGTGATGGCGACGATGAGTATGAATACAATATCAGTGTGTTTTGAACTTCCACTACCCTTTGTGCTGAGACTAACGTAATCAAGGTCATGAGCGGCAAGTTCAACGAAGCCAGGGCATTCCTCCTCGCAGCTGAGCGCCTTATGGAAGAGCCATGTGCGGTCGAACCCCTTCAAAGCCGAGAGGCAAAAGTTCTCCGCAACATGCTTCAATATACCCGAGTCTTTGAGGAGACAACACACATTTACCCAGAGATGAAGACACCCGCCCACTGCACCAGTCCTAGTTTACGGCTACCAGATTTATATATGGATGAACCTCCAAATGCACATTTCGACGTCAAGTTTCCATCTTTAAGAAGTAGAGTTTTCATGAAGAACCACGATCCCAGACATTTGAATCCATACACCACGAATGTTCCAAACACTCAGGAGGCTCAACAAAATCTGTGTACGACCACAACCTTTGAGGGTATTTTTGGACTACCCCAGCCTCTTGTCAGTCTCATATCACGTACAACCCATCTGATAAACGTTCTTAGCGATGTTTCGACCGGACTTGAGACTCCTGGAATCGTCGACATCATTCGAATACTAGAGCATGACCTTTGCGCATGGACTTTCGAAGGGCACGCCACAACTGCCCCACATCAGAGGCAAGATGTCGAAGATCAGCAAGAAGCTGCCTTCGATAATGCGAGAGAAGCAATTTATGCAGCAGTGGAGATATACTTCTATCGAGAAGTTCGTCATGTCAACCCAACTTCAGTTCAGCATCTTGTCGAGAAAGCGTTGAGGCATCTTCTCGATTACGAGAGAGATGCTGAAGAGCGCGGCAACTTGGCTGTAGCGGGGGTGTGCTGGGCTGCCTTTATCGCTGGATGTGAAGCTGAAGGAGCCTCTTCGAGACAAAACATAGCTCAATTTCTCTCACGAATTGCCCGAAAGAGCGGCACTGGTAACTTTAGAGCTGCATCGGAGTTTCTTCCTTGCGTGTGGGAATCAAGGATGGGGTTGGACACGTTCGATCAAAGCTGGAGAGAAGTGATGAGATCATCAAATACGTGTCTCATTTTGTCGTAATACATATTCTCAAGACCTAGGCTCTTCGTTTCCATGCTCCATACCTCCTTCTTAGTATTTGATCTATCCATTTACTCTCCGTGACTTTCTGATCCAAATTTGAGTCTTCGCAAAAATATTTCATTCTGTATCTCCGGCTGGAACTCGCAGTACAGCGAATCCTAGTTCAATAGAGTCAATGAATAATCGTTTGGCTTTCAAGGAGGGCACTCTCACTCACCGAATCGCTACTTGTCTCGAAAGTGTGCTTGGCTGTTGCATCATCGATGCATTTCTTCTCGAGGCCGTCCTTTGCAGCCGCTTCCACTAGTAGCTGTATCTCACAACAACGTTCCATCAGTGTGAAGAGATAAGCGGCCTCGTCAACACTCTGGCCGACGGTGAGCAAGCCGTGGTTTTGCATGATCAACCCTCTCCCATTTAGACCCAATGCCGATGCCACAGGATCACTCAAGCTTTCTTCAAAGACTAGGCCACCATAGCTGGTGAGCACCGCTTGAGCATCTCCATAAAACATGGCAGCGTCTCCATTCAACATCTCAAAGGGGCGTCCAAATGCCGACCAAGCTTTTCCGAATCTAGTGTGACAGTGGCACGCGGCAACAACATCAGGACGGGCTCTGTGGATCGCAGAGTGAATGAGGAACCCTGCCGCATTCACTGGACGCGATTTGTTTCCTCCAATGACTTCTCCCTGTTCGTTCACCAACGCCATGTCGCCAGGGGTTAGCAACGCAAAGTGAACGCCGAGGCTATGAAGATAGATCAGCCTTGTAATCATATCTTGATAATCCAGTGGATGAGTCTTCTTACGGATTGAGCCAAAAGCTGTCGGGGAACTCTGGATCCCGAACGGAAATATGCCCGGCCATTCCCTCGCTGTAGCCTCTGCGCGCAAATACGTGGAACGCATGTGCCATGTGATCCAGCATGAAGGCGCGCTTGTCGGAAACGTCGGAGAACGTAGGCATTGCTTGCATGGTGCTGCCCTGGACGATAGCATCGAGCGGTGTTTTCTTTTGGTCGCCTAAGGAAGACATTGTGATGTCGTCAAGCTGTGCCTTCGTGTCTGTGCTTGGTACGGTACCCGAAAGTTATGTGAGATCACCGTGGCTCATCTAAAATGAGAGAGCCATGAAGTCGTGGCTTCCAGTAGCAAGTTTCAGTCCTCCTGGAAGATTAGAGGCTCAATTTATAATATTGCGAAACTCGGTTTCGTGAGAGAGACCGAATGGGTCGTCGAATACTTTAGTCGTCATCGGCCGAGCTCGCCCAAACCAGAAAGCAAGGTGGGGAAAGGGGGCCCATCCATCCGTCTACTTACACTGAAAGGTTTCACGGGCCCAGGCCCCGGGTCCAACATCTATTGATGGGACTAAGCACTAGGAGTGCATGCAGATTAGATTGAGAGGTTATATTTACTGATGATTCGCCCAGGTTCAATATGGTACTGTTTTCAGTCATTTCGGCCGACCTTTCCAAAGCTTTTTCCAAAGCTTTACAAAGAAAGGTGGGTCATTCACCTCTAGAACGAGGTATCCCATCGACTGCTACAAGGCGACAGTACATCCGAGTGCGGGGGAAGAACTAATTAGGCATTATTCCGATTTATTTCTACTTTATCTATAAATTAAAAAATTTATATCTCGGAGAATTTAGAGAAAAGATGGAGACCATTGTGCTGTCGCCTTGTAGCAGTCGATGGGATACCGATCAGCATGCCTGAGGGGACGGCCCTCAACATTTGGTCAAAAATTGACAAGCGTCTTGCTAGCACTGAATTGAGACAGTGTTACTCTATCACGGTAGCCTTGGATGTAGACAGAATTCTGCTGCTTCAGGTTCAATGGAGGAAAGGAATTGTGCATTCAGTCGATCTTTGTTCTCTTCGATAATGGGTATCTACTGTAGACTCCGGCGTCCATTTTGACGCAAAGCCTACTTCAACTCTTTAGCCGGTTAATGAGATTCGATTTCGAGGTCTTAGACAGCCTGACAAGCTTTGACTGGGATTCCCAACAATCTGGTCAACCCGAAAAGTCTACCCATGCTCTCCTTGGCTCCAACCCTCAGCTCCTTTTTCACGGCACTTCTCAAGGACCCCTTCCAACCAAGGAAGGCCTCGGTCGTTGGCGCCCAGCCGCGGGAAAGGCCAACTTGCGCAGGCTGCATCGTCATCCACGGCGTCTTCTCACCAACCAATTGGGGTGGGTAAACAGCCGAGAGCTGCCAAACTTGCGCCGCCGAGACTGGCACTGGAGAGCGGGCAACCACCCAGTAGAATCTGCTCAGTGTATCAACGCCGCCGATCAAAGCTTCATCAAACGCGTCGGGGTTCCCGCTCGAGGCGCGAAGGAATTGGAAGTACACCTTTGTCAGGCGCAGCGCATCGTTGGCGCGACAGTCGCGAAGCTGAGGCGTGTCCGCAGTCCACAGCGGCGTGTAGTGATATGGGTGATCGGGCTCGCGGGCGTTGCCGAGGTCGCCGAATTTCCACTTTCTAGGATCGTGCTCGGATGTTACGAAGATGTTGTACAGCTTGACGTCGTCGTGACACAGGTCGTGCGTCATGTGTAAGCTATCGAGTGCTGAGAGAAGAGACTCGAAAGATGGTCTAAACATTTGATCAAGCTCACGATACGAGTGTCGGTCGCCAGACCTACACAACTTCTTTGCCAGGTTTTTAAGGGTGCCTGACTTGAGAAACGACGAGACGAGGTGCCACTTTGGAGCCCCTGACGGTTCCGTGGCAGCTAAGAAGTAGTCTTGGACAGGGACGAAGTGTTCTCTGTATCGCTCATCGTCCAGCAATGTCGAGCTGTCATCGTGTCCGCCCATAATCAGACTCGCAGGGATCTCTGTGGGCCATCTTCTCGCAGACGCGTCTGTTCCTTGAATGCAATTCCGAAAAGGACTGGTTTCCTCATTGTAGACTTTGATGACAGTATCGTTAAACGTGAATGTTTCACCCTCTCTGCCTTTTCCAAGCTTCTTCCAATGGCGCCGGTTGTCCAGTAAGATGCCACGTGCAGCACTTGTGGTATCGGGACTGACTTCCCATCCGGTGCTTGAAAGTATTGCCTCGTCGTAATCCGCAAGGGGTGTGAACTTTGTCGGGAGATACTTGACTTTCATGTCCTCTCGATAGCGGAAATGAAGGTCCAACAAATGATACATGGCGACGATGGAAGCAATTACTAGGAACCGAAGTGTCATCCGCGCGGTGAACGACTTCAGTCCCCTCCGACGAGCCCCAACGGGGCTCCAACTGCGAACTGTCATCGACAAACGTCGACACGCTGTGATGATTGAGTGTGAGGATCTTTGTAGGAAGATTCGTGAATGGAAAACTAGCGGCAGCCCCTTCCGTCCACCTAATAAAGACGGCCGCCAAGCGGCCAAGTGCCATCAGAAGCCAGTAGCTCATCCATGTCATTTGCGTGAGCCGACTTACAATAATACCAGGGAGGGATAAGGAAGCGAATGAGCTACGCGACTAGGACTGTTCCCCGCCGTCATACCGCCAAGGGGTTGCCACGTAGTCTAGCCATCCCCGTCTCGGGAAGCCTACAACCTCAAAGCCAAGTTTATGACAGCCCAGATCTTGCTCATCTGGGCCGCTGAAACAGGTGAGCTTTTAGAGGTGGTTGCACCCACAACCTTTCTCTGCTCTGGTGAGCCCCATGAACAAGGCGGAACCCGGGCCAGCTCAAGTCATGACAAACATGCGCCCCAAGCTTGGCGATGGCTATTTTGTCTCCTTGCCGACGGCAATTGTAGCGTACTTGCGTCGAGGAGTTGGACCTCCGAAGTGATTGCCGTCTCCTGAGTCCATGCGTTGTCGATCTAGGATGTCGGCCAGGTATACCTTGGAAGCCAATCAAACCCCCAATAGCGGTTCCAGAAACCTGCCCAGGTGCTGCATTTGGGGTTGATATTTCGCAAGCGAACACGGCACGTGGGCACACAAGTTTTCGGAACCTGGTCCTAGCGGGGAACATGAAGCACGGTAGACCTCGGGATGACCTCAGTCTTTCCTCCTTTAGTTGAAGCCGGAGGGCTCCTTGGGTGCGGTGGCACAGGTGAGAAGGCGAAGTCAGATCAAGGTTGATCTGAGGTGCGAGACAGAGGGGAATCTCCCTAATACCCCAACGAAGTCAACCTTCCTGCGAGGGCTGATGTCATGGATTCCCTGCCCATCTCCCAACCCACCAGATCAATTATGGATATGCCATCTTGCGTACCATGTGCAGACTATCCCCCCGAATGCCACGCCGTTATTTCCACGACAACGGCCTCTGCCGAGTGTCTGCCAATTTCTAAATGGGTCCTGTTGCTTGGCTCGCTTATCAGCCTTAGGTTTCTTCTCATATTCCTTGGCTATCTGTTGGAATAATTATCAACTTGGCTTCGTCCCCTCTTTGCTTTCGAAAACGCTTTTTGTTTTTGAGAAAAGAAAAAAGGAAAAGAAAGAAGGAACGAGAATTGCAGCTATTGAGTACGTACCGGACTCCCCAAAATAATGGATCGCAGGAGCTGTTGAACACTGCCGTCATCTGATGAGCGGTTGAATCGATGGACTGCCTTGCCGTCCAACTTTCAGCTGGGAGTGCCGCTGTGACACTTAAGATTCGGCGCGGCTTCTGCAACCAATTTACCCACCTCACTGTGCACGCAACTCTGGTCTGGTCAGCTTTTCTACTGGTCCAATAGAAGGCAGATCTGAGTGATGTAACAGACTTCTCCCCAATGGCGGACAACACCGCGATCCGAAAGGTTGGGGTCTTAGAGCCAGAAAGGCAAAATCCGCCTCACCCATTCTAACCCACAGACTGCCGCACAGCGCATGCCAAGAAACTCAATGGGGGCTCTACAGCAGAACAGAATTACCAGACTGTTTGAACTCTTATATGCAAAGCGTCCCGAGCTCGACAGTTGGGTCACGAACCACCTAGACGCGGGGACATGGAGCCACATAGAGTCTAGTATCAAGCTAACCT